GATTGTGAACAGAAAAACTTGGAATCCAAGAAACATTGGAAAAAATGCTTTGAAAAAAGCTTACAAGGAAGTTGTGGAACAGAAAGGCCCTGGGCTCCCATGAGATGAGCTCTATCCATTGCCTCTGGGACGGATCGTCCTCACTGGTTGAGTTGAAGCTGCTTGGCGAAACACGACGGGACACAAAGGAGATGCCAGTGCAAGTGATCTGAGACGTCCATACACCATTAGGTTTTTTCAATTTGCTCTGAAATTGGCAGATCGCAGCGGAACTTCTCGAAACATTGAGGAAACGACATACGCAACAGGGTGTGTAAGACCTAAATCTCAAGGTAGCAGATTGCTGTCGGACACAAAAGTTGGAGAAAAGGAATACGCAGACAGGGTGTCTAAGGCCTAAATTCCCCTGGGCAAGCTGTCTACCCGGGCCGATTATAAGCACCAATAGCAAACCACACGTCAGCAGAGTTGGTTTTCGAGAGTTCTCAACCCTAAACCAACTTAACCCCGGACAAACAGTCTACCCTGGTTACTTATGAGCGAACCACACGTCAGCAACAATCTACACCCACCTTTCCCCCTTCCATCCTATTAGCCTCTCCTCGTCTTGCGCGTCATTGGATATCGCAGCCACGTGGGACCCCCACGTGATTCCAGCAGCTAAGCACGCGACGAAAAGAGCCGCCGAAACATCCGGGATCGCGACTGCAGAATGATTTCTCCGACCCATGGTTTCTTCCGAATATGCAGATGGGAAGCAAAAAAGTAATGAAGCTCGCTCGCGAGAAATAATCTAACAATCAAAGAAGGCTCTTTCTGTAGAGAATTCCGCCCAAGGACACGCGCGGGTGTAGAACGCAATCGAACAATGGAGCTTAAATGGCCCACGCAACCGCAACACGGTCGGTGACTTCCTGGCCTACTAGTTTAGAAGCTGAGTGCTACTGGTCGGATTCTAGTCTTGCCAGATTCTAGTCTTGCTTTTCTCCTAGATTCTTGGTTGTCTGAGCTGAACACAAGCACAGTACTTGAGTGTGCTGCTTTTCCCGCCAGAAAATAGGCATTTGACAGCACAGGATGGTCTGGCGAACTGACAGAAGTCGCTGGGGTCTGATTCCTTCCGACACTACCAGATTCGCTACTGTTCTAATCCCCTTTGTCGAAGCCTGTGGCACACCATTTGCGTGTGTTGTTCGCTACTGTTAATTCCCTTTGTCGAAGCCTGTGGCACACCATTTGCGCTTCAGACAGTATCTTGTCACAAGAAATATTAGTTTTCTAGAAACGAACAACACACGCAAACTACAGGTTAAGCTAGCAACCTAGCAAACGCAGAAATGACAAATCTCACAGCCTACAGAGCTGTACAACATTGCAGCTCTTGCCAAATTAGACTGCAGGGGGCACGAATCATAGGCCTTGATCGGTACCCTGTATTACAAAGCAGTTACCATATGTTTTACCTGGTGCACAAGGAGAAAGCAGTGATATTGCGAGTGGAAGGGACAGAGACAGAGTGTTTCCACCTTCACATCACAACGGCAGCAGTAAGCGAAATGAAATGCGGAAACCTCCTTGATGCCGCCAACAGGTACAACGAAATGCAATGCCAACAGATACGGTACTACCAGACCTTCAGCTCCCAGCAAGTGATGCAAGCAAAAGTGAACACAGGCTGACGGTATGTAGCAGTACCTGTATCCTGCTCCACAGTAAGGGACGTAGTCTGGCGACCTGTCTCGACTGATAAGGCTGGCAAGTAAGGTAAGAAGTGAACACAGGCTGAGGGGATGTAGCAGTACCTGTATCCTGCCCCACGATAAGGGCCGTAGTCTGGCGACCTGTCCCGACGGTATGGCTGGTAGTCCGGTGACGATCGACGAGGATTGAACTCCCTCTCACCACCAAAAGAACGGTCTGTCAAGCGAGAGAGAAAAAAAAAGGAATGGCGAACCAAATGGGCAGAACGCGCAAGATATATGTGACTGGGAAACCGAAGAGGAACGGAGAAGGAACTCCGCAAATGCAAAATCTTACACCGTAAATATTTGCCATGCACGGTGTGTCGGTATGCAGCATTGTGGCACGATTGAATCACTCGACAAAAGAATGTGCGAACAAAAGATTTACGTACCACCACCAACACCAGGAACAGACTCTTTTAGGCTGCGAGTCCCAAGGAACTTGCCAGGAGTTGGGGTCCGAGCACGCTTTCGCTTAGCCTGCGGAAAATCAGGGAATGCTGGGGAAAGTTAGACGCCAAAAACTCCAGAATTCTTGTGGTAGATAGCGGGTGCATACAATAAGTGACATCGGAGGACAAAGTGTAGAAGTGCATGGAGGATGATGAGGAGACGCTGTAACTGGACGAGACATTTTGACTCATTTAGTGCATGCAATGCCATAGGGAAGTGGGGAAATTTCGCAGACAACACCACCGGTAACGCGCTTGGATCGGGTCGAAGGAGCTGTTGGGGAGGCGGAGCATAGGCATTGGGGTTGGTTGGGGTTGAAGCAGGATCTCATTCCCAGCCACTCGGTCGCTCGAAGCTGAGCAGACTCGATCGGCGAGAGATCGGGGCAGCAATTGATCGAAGTTGAAATTTGATGCCGGAACGGTTGCAGCAGTATTGATCGCTCCTTGGAGCGGAAATGCTGAGGCGCAAGCGAAGCACGTTCGTTGGTGCAGAATTGCTGGGGTTGGTTGTCGTAGATTAAAAATTGCAAATGTTTGGAGCTTGGGTGGCGCTATGTCGAGGCCGCTAAGGTCGAGGCCGCTAGGGCACATTGGGTGCGGGAGACGAATAATGGGGAAGGATGCTCGGCGGAGCGGCACTGGTCTAACCAACGCTGGGTAGACGGGAGAGAGAGGAGATGGTGGAGAGAGAGGAGGACGAGAAACGTCAGCCTTAAGCAAAGCTGAAGGGATTGAGCGCTGTCAGACAGACAACCCTCTATGCTGGCAAAAACCGGGTCTAGGAAACCCGAGAAGATGGGAAGAACGGGAGGGAGCGGGATCTTGGAAATCAGATGCGACGTACGAGCGCGACGGTGATGACGCGGCCGTCGAGGATGGAGCGGTCGAGGTACTTGAGGCAGCGGCGCGCGTCGTCCACGTTGTCCATCGTCACGAAAGCGAAGCCGCGGGAGTCTTTCGTGCGCGGATCCAAGACAAGCCTGCATTCAGCAACCTGCGGAGGGGAGAAAGACGGAAAGGCATGGAAAGAAGAGGTACTTGAGGCAGCGGCGCGCGTCGTCCACATTGTCCATCGTCACAAAGGCGAAGCCGCGGGATTCTTTCGTGCGCGGATCGAGCACGAGGCGGCATTCAGCCACCTGCGGAAGGGAGACACCTGGAAACGAAAGAGGGTAAAAAATGAAAACCGACAGAAATTACAAACGAAAAGCTTTGAAAAGGAATGCTCCAGAAATCGAGGGAGGAAGGCGTCGACAGACGGTTACGAAATAACTGCACGCGGAATCTATTTTTGAGGCGCCTCAAAAATAGACTCCTCACGGGTGAAAGGCAGGGAAATAAGACTCCGACCTTTCCCGCCTTGGAGAAGTGTTTCTCGAGCTCCTCTTCGGTAGTTCGCATCGACAGGCCGGTCACGAAGAGGTTGTTTCGCTTTGAGTCGAATCAAAAGAAAAACGTAAAAGAAAAAGAAAAAGAAAGAAAACGCACCTTTCCTTCCTTGGAGAAGTGTTTCTCGAGCTCCACTTCGGTAGTTCGCATCGACAGACCCGTCACGTAGAGGTTGTTGCCGGGGTTCCTAGACTCATCACTGAAACAATCGAAGGCGTACGACACGAGGTGAAAAGAAAAAAAGAGCAAGTGTAAAGTTAGGGAACGATCCTCCTTCAATTAGAATGTGGAGGAGGGTGGAAAAAGGCACCCAGAAAAAAAAAAAAAAAAAAAAAAAAAAACGAACGGAAAAAGAAAAAGAAAATAATGACAAGTGTGACCGTGACTATAACGGTTGCTGAGATGCGTACTCCGGGCCAGGGCTTCTCGGCGGAGGGCTCCGCATCCGGGGGCTTCCGCGCCGGAACGGCGGACTCCGGCTCCGCCCCCTTATAGGGCTCCGGCTGCGACGCCTAGGGCTCCGACTTCTGCTTCTAGCGGGACTCCTCACGGGGCTTCTGCTCCGCCGGCGAATCGGACTCCGGCTACGTCCGCGCACGGGGCTGCGACTAAGGCTCCGCTTCCTGGCGGGACTGCGGACGGGGCTGCCGGGACGCCCGGGGCTGCGGCTGCGGCTCCGCGGAGCGGGGCTCCGCTGCCTGCGGGGAGAGGGCGACCTGGACGGCATCGCTGAGTGGAGGTTTCCTAGATGAATTAAAAGTCGAAGTTACGCTAATAAAAGAGCTGCTGGAGTTAGCGAAGTATAATGTACGAAAAAAGTCGTGTGGCGTGACGGTCACAAGACTTGTCTACTCTACTCTTCCCAGCGTAACCACAGAGACTACGGAGACTTCACTGTACTGCCGTTCAGGAGCTATGGAGAGCAATTTGGCAGAAATATAATGAAGTCAGTCTAGGAACCGAAATAAAAGAAGCGGAGGTACAGCTCGGTGAAGATGGAGGGGGTTGGGTGGATTTGTTGCCACTTAGCTGTGGAGAGAGAATGGACGGAAGGGGCAGGGAAGAGGGGGTGGGGGGAAGCGGGGCCCTAGCGGAGAACCGCTCAGGCACCAGGGGAACATGTGAGAGGGTGGCGGAAGCAGGGGTGGTTCGGCTTCGGAAACGGCGGAGTCTGGTGTGGCGGTGGGGGAAGGCGGTTTGGGGTGGCAAAAAAAAGCACTTTGTTTCGTTGAGCGAATTTTGGGTTTGGAAACCGAGTTTCAACCATCGCCGCACCTTGCTAAAAATGCGTTCGCTTATACGGAGAACAATGTTTGTGGTAATTTTTTCTTCCTCCTGTCGTGACCTGCCTGTCTCGATTTCCTCCCATTCATTTCCCAGCAGCTGCAACAGCAGCAGCATTCATCCCCTACCATTCCTGACTGAAATCTACAGTTCCCTAGGTACAGTACGTTCAGAGCAGGAATCTATTCCCATGGAGGGCTTTCCTTGGAGCTCAGCAAGCATGCGAGTTTCCGCGAGGCTCCTGCTTCTCGTTTGCGCCGTCTGGTCATTCGTTTGCCCGAATTCCGCAGCACGTACTAGTACCTGGTCGTTGGGTTCCGAGCTAGCACCGGCAATGGTCCAAGAATGGCTAGGGACCGATGATGCCGCGGGCCGCCAGCAAGGGACAAAGCTTATCCGCGGGGAGAAGATTCTTCCAGTCGCAGGGACCGAATTCTGGTCCCCGGGTCGAGTTCGCGTTGACGGTATCGAGCGTGATTCTATTGAAACTGGCGACTTGAGCTTAACAAGCAGGAGGGATGGGGAGGAGCACGCGGCAGTTGCGAGAGGACTCGTTGCGCGGAGCACCTGGGGAACACTCAGGTAGACGCGGTGGGGGGAAGGGGTGGGGGAAGGGGTGGGGGAGGAGAGAGGCGGGGAGAACACATGTGGGTAGGTCGTACTATTGGATTTGCGGGAGCATGCTTAGTTGCTCCGATCCATTCTGACGTGGAATTCGATTTGTACCAAGTATGGTGGGAGTATGGTGGGAGTATGGTGGGAGTATGGTGGGAGTATGGTGGGAGTATGGTGAGAGTATGGTGGGAGTATGGTGAGAGTATGGTGAGAGTATGGTGAGAGTATGGTGGGAGTCTGGTGGGAGTATGGTGGGAGTATGGTGAGAGTATGGTGAGAGTATGGTGGGAGTATGGTGAGAGTATGGTGAGAGTATGGTGGGAGTATGGTGAGAGTATGGTGAGAGTATGGTGGGAGTATGGTGGGAGTATGGTGAGAGTATGGTGGGAGTCTGGTGGGAGTATGGTGAGAATATGCTGGGAGTATGGTGAGAGTATGGTGGGAGTCTGGTGGGAGTATGGTGGGAAGCTCACTGATGTACTCTCGGGCGAATTTTTGGGCGGGATCCTTATGTGCAGCACCATTTCTCGTGGTTAAGTAGGTTAATTTTTAGACGTCTCAAAACTAACTCAAAACTAACTCAAAGCTAACTAATTTCCTCCTCGCCTTCTTTGGGGATCCTTGTGTGCAGCACCATTTCTCGGCACCTCCACGGCTCGCCTTTTGGGTAAGCGCTTCTTTTGGTTAAGCGTTTCTCTTATCACACATCTCTATGGCAGGAGACAGCGTTTCCATTGCTAAGGAAAACACGTCTCTTGTTTCATCTCTCGTTTCGTCTCTCGTTTCGTCTCTTGTTTCATCTCTCGTTTCTTTGCGTCTCTCTTTTGGTGTTTGCCTTTCAGGAACGTGGTTTCCTTTACAGACGGCATCCCTGGTAACTATTCAGGTATGCTGGTGACTTACCGTGGACTTTTTTGATACACCGTGCTTAATGCGCTGGTCTGATTGAGTCGCACTTAAACCGTTTGGTGTATTTCTTCCTCCTTATGCATCATAATTATTACGCGCTGTAAATCCCGAAAAAACTTTCACGTGGATTAGAAAAACGGTGGCCAAAACCCCTGACATATACCATTTTTTCTTTCACAGGGACGCCGTACTTCTACCTCACACCGCTGGACCCCTCGGCTGCTGACGTGGCAGCCGATCCTCACGCCTCGTTGGCCATCAGCGCCATGCCTCTCGGCGCATGCGGTGACTCGGACCCCGAGAGCCCACTCTGTGCCAAGCTGACACTGTCAGGAGAGGTAGGCCATGGGAAGAGGTGAATCTAGTGGATGGTGGATTCAGCCCTTTGTCTCTTGGCACGTACGGTGACTCGGACTCGAACACACCCGCGTTGTGCCAAGCTGACACTGTCGGAAGAGGTAGGCCATGGGAACAGATGATATCTGTTGGTTGGTGAAATCAGCTTTTGTCTCTTGGCAGACTCGGACTCGGAACCCAAGAGGCCCCTCTGTGCCAAGCTGACACTGTCGAGAGAGGTGTCAGCATGTAAGCATTAGCGCCACAGAGCGGCACAAAGGAGCATCACAGAAGGTGAATGTTGTAAGTTGTGACATCAGCAAAGAGGTGACTTTTGAGTCGACTCAAAAGTCACCTAGTTGTGACATCAGCGCCATGCTCCTCAGCACATGCGGTGACTCGGACCCTGAAAGGCCCCCCTCTGTGCCAAGCTGACATCGTCAGGAGAGGTAGGTGTTACAGAAGGTGGTTTAGGGATCGGGTTGTGAGGTTGTGAAACGATCGACATGCTGCTTGGCACATGCTGTGGCTCGGATCCTGAGAGCCTTCTTTGTGCCAAGCTGACGGTGGCGGGAGAGGTATGCTGTCAAGAAAGGCGAATCTCGCTCCCTGGAATTTATTCGCTGACGGTGCTGGGAGCCTTCTTGGTTGTGAATGCATGCTGGCCGTGCTTCTCAACGCATGCTGTGACTCAGGCCTCGAGAGCCCTTTCTGTTCCTGTATGTAAGATGGTGTGTTGAATGGTATGTCAAATGGTGTGTTGGATGGTGTGTCAGATGTTGTGTCAGATGGTGTGTCACATATGGAGTCTGACATGCGGCACGTGCATTGCTTCCGGCCCTGACAGCCCACCCTATGTCAAATCCACCATCCCATCCCATGCGTTCTGCTGGTTCCAGCGCCCTCCCTCCGCTCCCCATACCATGCTTCATGAACAGTTGTAGGCCCTTTCCCCTCCCTCACACGGTACCATCCACCATCCCATGTCAATTTACCATCCCATGTCAAATTACCATCCCATGTCAATTTACCATCCCATGTCAATTTACCATCCCATGTCAATTTACCATCCCATGTCAATTTACCATCCCATGTCAATTTACCATCCCATGTGTTCAGCTGTTTCATGGTGTAGGTTATCATCCTCTCTCATGCGGTACCATACTTCACCCCGTGTCAATTCACGATCCCATGTCAATCCACCATCCCATGTCGATCCACCATCCCATGTCAATCCACCATCCCATGTCAATCCACCATCCCATGTGTTCAGCTGCGTCAAGTGCTGGACGCCCAAGAGCTCTCATTCGCCGAGCATGCTCTCTTTACCCGTCACCCCGAAATGACAAGTAAGACTTCCTATTCTCCCCCTCCCCCCTCCCTCCCCTTCCTTTCCAGCCAACCCCCCGCCCCCCCCCCCCCTTCTCCCTCCCATGCCCACCCCTACTGCCCGCTTGACCAAGTGACCGTATGCCCTCCTCGATCGTTCCAAATCACCCATATTCCGTACCATTATACAAGCAACCATTATACAAGCAACCATTACACAAGCAACCATTACACAAGCACCCATTACACAAGCAACCATTACACAAGCATCCATTACGCAAGCAACCGTTACACAAGCAACCGTTACACAAGCAACCATTACACAAGCAACCATTACACAAGCAACCGTTACACAAGCAACCATTACACAAGCAACCATTACACAAGCAACCATTACACAAGCAACCATTACACAAGCAGCCATTACACAAGCAGCCATTACACAAGCAGCTGTACACTCGTAAACTTTCCCTCATGAGTCCGTCTCTCTCCCTCTACCCCCCCCCCCCCTCCCTTTTCACAGTCTGGCCCAAGGACCACCATTTTCGGGTGTTCAAGCTTGTCCTTGCTAGTGTTTTCTTCATTAATGGCTTTGGTGGGCCCAGGCACATCACTGTAGAACAATACTACAGTGCATCTCCTGTGAATTTGTCCAGAAGCTTCCTCCACGAGGCTTGATTGGGCAACTGTAGTCCTCATCGCCTGTACATTTGTATGCAGTGATTTTACTGGCATGTTTCTGCGTTCTGGTCTATTCTGATGAATATAATAAACATTATTACGAATTGAGTACACCATAATAAAAGCATGTTGTAGCCCAACGAGGGGATTGGGCCATTTGAAAGCTAGAGAACCCTACGAATACCAACCCAGCCCACAGGAATAGAAACACTGAAAACGAATGAAAGGTACCTAAACCAGCCAAGGCCCCAGCAGCAACAGCTGCCATTACAAGCCAATGTGGCTTCGAAAAAACGCAGTACATGTTTGTTAATCTCTGCTCGTTACGCAGCGATGTTTGTGGAGCAGGACTTGGAGAGCACGTTGTTCTGTGTGGGGTTGACCACAGCGTTGCACACCAGTTGCACCTGTCGTACGTAAGAAAGTAAGAGGGGAAGTTGGAAAGGAGGAAGGAAGAAGTGAGGCAGGATAAGGGAGAGGTGGGTAAAGGAGGTAAGAAATATTTTTATCAGGGCATGTGTAACTGTAGTGCTATATGGGGTATGGACAGCGCATTGTAAAAGCCATCAGCGCTATGTGCTTGCATAATATGGCAGTATGTGAGGCTGGACGTGAGTATTGTGGCAACTGCGTGTGTACATGGTGTGTGGTGATTTGTGCCTATATCAAGTGGGCGCTGACATGTGTATACGTGGTGGAGTGTCCATCGTGGTGTGATGTGCACATGGTGGTACGTGCTTACATTGAAAGCTGGTGTGGTGCTCTGAAGAATGCGAGTCCTGGCTTTCAAACTAATCACAACCTGTAGAAGCACAGAGAAGCAAAGTACGGAGGGAAAAACCTGATTGGTAGAAGCTGTGGAAAAAAAGGAGAATATACAAACAACCATCAATAAGGTTTTTCTCCTTTTTATATGAAGGCTGGTTTGTCACGAGTGTACTATGGGGAAAACCCGATTGATGGAAACTGTCATAAGTCAACGAGGTTTGTATTCATTGTGATGTATCAGCCTTGGAAGCGCGCGCACGATATCAGTTTCTTTAACAGTAGCTACCTAACTGGCAGAACTTGCCTGAAACTCGAGCTCTCCATTGGCAATCGAGCCCGTGATAAGGCTTTGGTCGGAGAATGAGAGAAGGGGGAAGTTGTCGATGTTGAAAGGGACGGTGATGGTGGCGCTGCTGTTGGCAGGGAGAGTGAAGTCTGGTATCTGAAGGTAGTTGGGGCATGCAGGGAGGGAGAGTGTGTGAGGAAGGGCAGGAGGGAAGGGGGAGGTGTGTTGTGGAGAGAAGGGGGAGGGAATGGCAGAGGACGAGGGGGAAGGAGCAAACTGAAGGAAAACATTCGTGCTGAGATGATTGCTCTGTAAAATTTTATAAGCATATCAAAGAATTTTTACGTTAGAAACTCACATTAGCGTAGCCGGTGTCGACGCTGTAGAAGCTGACGTCTAGAGTGACCTCCTGCGCGATGATCTCTATGGGATTCGGATGTTGAGCCGCGCGGTGAGGTGGGAGTCCCAATTTTCAAGCTAAGTGCTTGGGGAATTCGGGCATAATAGAGTAAACACTTACATTCGCGTATCCGACGTCGACACTGTAGAAGCTGACGTCTACAGTAACCTCCTGCGCGATGATCTCGATGGGGTTCGGATTCGACACCACCGCCGCGACGTTGATCAGCGAGGTCAGATCGAGGCTTATTTCCTTGAAAGGCTCGAGGCTGAAGCTCCACGAATCAGGCCCCGATACCGACAGATGGCCGTTTTGAAAGTCGATTCCTTGTACTGATAGATCGGGCGGCTGGACAGGGGAAAAGGGTTGAGGGGGAAGGGAGATCGAGGCTTATTGAGAGAGAGAGAGAAAGAAACAGAACACAGGCTGGGCGGGGGGAAAGGGTTGGTGAAGAAGGGAGATCGAGGCTTGTTGAGGGTTCTAAAAAAACAGAACACAGGCTGGACGGGGGAGAAGGGAGATCGATGCTTGTTTCCTTGAATGACTCGAGGCTGAAGCTGCATGAATCTCGCCCGGATACCAATAGACGACCGTTTTGGTAGCCGATGCCTTGTGCTGACAGGTCTGTGGGCTGGGTGGTGCGGAGAAGAGTTTAAGGGAGGGATGAGGGATGTCGAAGCTGATTTCCGTTCGCAAGGATGGTTGTACCTTTATTAGCGCAGCGATTCTGCTGAGAATGTCTGTAGGCCCGTTGGAGCTCGACCTGGGAACTTGGGCCTCTAATGCCTCACCCAACCTGGATCGGAAGGAACCCTAGCAGCACCCCTACCTTTATTAGCGCAGCGATTCTGCTGAGAATGTCTGTAGGCCCGTTGGAGCTCGACCTGGGAACTTGGGCCTCTAATGCCTCACCCAACCTGGATCGGAAGGAACCCTAGCAGCACCCCTACCTTTATTAGCGCAGCGATTCTGCTGAGAATGTCTGTAGGCCCGTTGGAGCTCGACCCGGGGACTTCCGCCGCTGGCGTTTGGGGTGGTGTCGGTGCTGCTGCTGATGCTGCTGCTGGGGGTGGTGCTGCTGCTGCTGGGGGTGGTGCTGCTGCTGCTGGTGATGGTGATGATGGTGCTGCTGCTGCTGGTGATGATGGTGGTGCTGCTGGTGATGGTGATGGTGATGATGGTGGTGCTGGTGATGGTGCTGATGGTGCTGAAACTGCTGCTGGTGGCTCATCATAAGGGGGATAATCATAAGGGTCTGTTGGCCCCCCCTCACTTCCTGCGCCTGCCCCTGCGCCTGCCCCCCCCCCAAGGTCTTGCGCACTGACAGGTCTCACTTCCGGATTCGCCTGCTGCTGCGCTGCTGAAATGTCCTCCACTCCATCGCCGGGCGTCTGCCACGTGGCAGAACCCCATGAGGTAGTAGCACCTCCCCCGGATCCGCCCTGGTTTGCGTGAATGCCGGAATTCGGCCGAATGTCCAGCCTAGCAACGACTGTGCTCACATTGCCCCACTCCCCCCCTATCTGCACCGTGCCTAGTAATTCCTCCCCCTGCTGCTGCTGAGTCAGCATCGCCTCTGCTGACGTGGCGTCGTTCGACCCCTCAGCGCCTCCCTGGCACTTCCCCTTGCCAGCTGTCACGCCAATCGCGACCCCCGCTGCTAGGAGGAGCGCCAGGAGAATGAGCGCCGCGCCCCCTGCTAGCAACACGCGCCTCTCCCGCGCCTTGCGCCTCTCCCCCTCCTCAATCTCGGACAGGCGCAGGAAGATGGCCTGTTCCGCCGTCTGGAGAGGGGAGGGGAACGGGGAAGGGGGGTGGGGGAGTGGAAGAGGGGGGAGGAAGGGGAAGAGTCCATAGAGGCGTCAAACCAGCAGCAAAGACCCCCGCTGCTATTGGGAGCGCAAGGAGAATGAGCGCCGCGCCCCCTGCTAGTAACGCGCGCCTCCCCCGCGCCTTGCGCCTCTCCCCCTCCTCAATCTCAGATAGGCGCTGGAAGATGGCCTGTTCCGCCGTCTGGAGAGGGGCAAGGGAGGGTGAGGAGGGGGGAGGGGGGGGGGAGATGGGTGGGGTTGGGGTTGTGGGGGAGGTGAGATAGGCGCGTGGCCGAACCCTTCGCCCAGCTCCCGCGCACTGCGCCTCCGCCTCGTCTACCTTGTGTTAGTTTTTTTACAGCGTCTTCTACCCATGCGGGCATGCGGGCATGCGCAGAAAGATGGGCCTGCCCCCCCCTTCGGGGTGGCTCGGTAGACTCAAAAGTCGGCTCCGCCGTCCGGGTGGTATGTGGAAGGGAAGGGGGGAGGGGGGAAGAGGGGGGGAGAAGAGGGGGGGGGGGGTAGAAAAAGAGGGGTCATGAGGGGCGGGTTGTGCACTAAGAAGGGGATCGGAACGGGGGCAAAACGGGGGGAGGGGGGGGGGAGGAGGGGGGGGGGGAGGCGGGGAGGGGCGGAGGGGGGAGAGGATGAGAGAAGCGGAGAAGCGGAGAAGCGGGATCGGAACGGGGGCAAAACGGGGGGAAGTTGCGCATCGCAAAACGTTGACTGAATTTGGGCTGAGCTGAGCCCCATCGGCCACGGTTACTAGCGCGCCTGGAAAACAGGCGCAGCACATTCCACCGTGGAATAGAACTCTGGCAGAACGGGTAGGGGACGAATTTCTGAGGCGCCTCAAAAATACATTCCACGGTGGAATAGAATTCTGGCAGAATTCCAGGGCACGAATTTCCGCCTCAACAATCCATGGTCGGCGGACCGCGGAGGGGGAAGGGTTGGCGGGGGAATGAGTCAGCGGCTGCCTGTAATGTGGGGCTGGCGTGCGGAAGAGTCCGCGCCGATTCCGACATGTAACACGTACGAGTGCCTTTTCGTTGACCACGTCATGTGCGTCGCTTGCCACGTCAGCTCGTCCCCCCTCCGCCGTGGAGTCATTTACGAGTTTGCCGTGTCCCCCCTCCACGTCCTCCCAGGAGGCTGGTCGGTGGGAGTAAGGCGCCATCAGCGCCACGTGTCAGTCGCCGGTGAAATCTCACTTGCCACGTGTCAGCGCACCACCGGGTAGCGATTACTAGCAGCCTGTGCGAACACGACTCGGTGAACGAAGAGATGATACTAAGTCGTACGATGTTAGCGCCCGATAAAGACGAAGGGAGGAGAAAATCTGTCTCAGTTGGAGCGCCCCCGAGCCTCCTGCCAGACGTTGGGTTGAGCGACGTTAGGAACGCCCATTCGAAGTCCTTGGAGGATGCTAAGACTGGCCAACTGCTGGAGGTACAGCTGAAGAAATCAGAAGGTAATAAATAAGTACGTCGGTGTCATCTCGTGTCGTACAATTGCGTGGAGACTGGGACTAACTACAGTAGGGCTACATAAAGAAAGATACCTGCCAAGGCAGGGTACCTGATTTGTCGTTCATGGGAACGTGGGTTTTGCTGGAAGAATGGATTCGGGAAATTCACGTGTTTGCATTCCCTGGCTGCTTGCTGCCCTTGAAATACCCGAAGGCCTGTTCTATAATTCGGGCTAATCGCCCTGTGCTGTACTTAAAAAACCTTTACATTTCCACACTCCTATGATGCTCGCGCACCACAATCCATTCACAGTTCCAGACGAAGACCGCTTGTGTAGCCCTGTATTGTGATTCAAGAAACGTTTCTCATCCCGAAAACCAGCTGTTTCGGTTAGGTTCGGCGAGTGGCTGCGAATGAGCAGCGACGAATCGCGCTGTTCGCGTTCTTTGATTGGTTGTCTTTTTCAGTTGTTGTGGAGGATATGGTCCATGAGGTGACGGCTTGAAACCTGACGACTGCGCTGCGGCCGAATGCGACGAGATTCGGCGACTATTGCGACTATTTGTGCGATGTGGGAGTACAGAATTTGTATGTACCATGTCGTGTCATGTCGTGGCAGGGCAGAAGGGCTAATCGTTCTCACTAAAGGGAAATCCCAAACAAACAACTATCATTATAGAAACTGCTGTTGCATCCACCTCAAAACACTTCTCAAATGTCTTTCAAATTAGCATAAGTGTCTACTTTATCATGTGCATTACTTGCACCCTACCTCCCATAAGGAAAGGACAACAAATACTTATATGAACAATAAAACACCCCATGGCAATACCACCTGTTGCAGGTTCTTGCGCTGCTTGTGGACCAAGCAAGCTATGTATCCAAAAGCACACACAACATTTTGGCCTTCACTACCAATAGCTCTAATAAATATAGAAAGGCAGCTACACTTGCGTAGGCTTGGCGCCACACTCCTGTGTTGTTGTCCGCTCCCCACGGGGGTCAACCGTCATGATACACATCACAGAGACCTGTAACAAGGTATACAATACAGGGACAATGTGGTGAGGAAAGGATAGGTAGGGAGTACGTCTTCACAGCACAGAAGAAAAATGACGATAGTGTCACTGTAAATACAGTCAATAAATCTCGCGATCTCATTCCATCCACATCGCACTGTATTTATCTGACGACAAGCCCTGCACCTCAGAACGAAGAAAGACCCCTCACTGTAACTACAACACTATATCTCTCACTGTACTTCAATTCTCCATCGCTATACTCACATTGTAGGTGGGCGAGGAAATTCCCCACACCTTCACTTTGCCCTGCGTGTTAATGAAGGTCTGAGGGATGAAGGTAAAGGACGAGGGAGGGGAATATTTTTTAGGCGCCTCAATAATGGATGAAGGTAAAGGACGAGGGAGTGGATTAGAGAGAAGATGTTGGAAGGGAAGGGAAGGGAAGGGAGGAAGGGATGAGGGAAGGGGTAAGAGAAGGGGTGAGGGGAGGATGAGTACAAATATGAGTACTGAAGGTAAGGCAGTTTCCAAGCACATGAGACGATAACAGCACTTCGCCACAGCATTGCTCCTTGTGTAACATCATCATCATGGTGAATCATCATGATGGTGCATCATCAGCATGGTGCAACATCAGCATGGTGCATCATCAGCATGGTGCATCATCAGCAAGGTGCATCATCACTCTGCAACCACATGATATGAACTTGAGAAGTCCAGTTCGCGTGGCTTACCTGCATCTTTATCTTCCGCTCTCTCAGCGCAGTGGCTATTGGGCTCCTGACTTGGCCGGAAGACGAGGTGGAGAGGAGGGGAAAGCTCTTAATGACGAGCGGCACTGTGGCAGTCTTTGTCTGCTTCTTCCCCAGCTCGAATGCTGGGAGCTGGCAGCGGGTAAAGGGAAGTAGGGGAGCGAAGGAGAGAAGGAGACCACGGGACGTTGGAAAGCGAGTGAAAGGGGCGCAGGGGAGGAGGAGGAAATTATGACTAGGTAGTTTGGAGGTGACTTTTGAGTCGACTCAAAAAACGACTCATTACACGTGAAAGGGGCGCAGGGGAGGAGGGTGGAATTATGACTAGGTAGAGCAGAGCATTTCACATGGAGCAATTCCATCAATTCTATGGCAGTAGAGAACGATCCGCTCGAAGCTGTCTGCTGCTTTCGGAATCACCGATCCCGTTACATGTGTACCAAACGTACCGAGACATTGGAGACGTGGATGCCGAAGAGGTAGATCCCCATATCCAGGAAATTGAAGACCCCCTCGAAGCTGTTCGGGTTGTATATGCTCGCCGTGACATTCACATGCGCGTTTAGATCCACGCGCAATCCCGCAAAGTTGTCCGCAATCGCTGCTTGGATCTCGTCCCGAATCCTTGACAGGTCCGTCGACACCTCCTTAGAAACGTTCTTGCCGACTTTAGAGACCTCCTTAGTCACGTTCTTGCCGATTGCCGAAACGTCCTTTCCAAAATTGGAAACGTCTTTTCCAAAATTGGAGAGCCGATCCCGGAGGCTTTTTCCGAGGCTCTTGGGGTTCTTCAAATCTAGGTTCGACAGGTCCAGGCTCGGTATGTCGAGGTCCGGGACGCTGCCGAGGCTGGGAACGTTGGCTTGGATACCTCCCAGGTTTGGCACGCTGACCATGCTGGGGTCTAGGTTCGGCATCTTGATGGTTTGAGGAGGAATGGAGATGCTGAAGCGAGCAATGTCAATACCCTCTATAGTCACAACTGGTTCCTGTAGCGAGGGGGGAAAGGGGGGAGGGAAGAGAGGGGGGAGGGGGAAGAGGAAAGGCGCAAACGTTTTTCTGGGAAATGCTTGAAGGATATTATTTGGGGCAACACAAAGAAAGAAAAAGAAACAGAAAACAAAATCGTGGGTTGGGTGCGTATGGAGGCGTCACTATATACCTGTTGGGTGAGCGAGAGGAAGAAGACAAGCATTGTGAGCCCAACGGCCGTCATCACAACGCCAGCGCCAATCCCCACCCAGCAGATCACCTCCCACCGCCCGCACCTCCTCCGCTTCCCCTTCCCCGCGCCTTCCTCCTCCCCCTTCCCCCCCGCCTCCCCCTTCCCCTTCTCCTTCCCCCCCTTCCCCCCTCCGCGTCCAGCTCCGCATCCCCTTCAAGCGCCTTCGCTTTCTCCGCCGCGGCGGCGGCTTCCGCGGCACGGGAAGGCGACGCGAGGGCGTCGCGTTCCGAGTCGGGGAGGTAAGAGGAGTCTGACTCCGAGTCGCCATGCAAAGGGCGGCTCGGCGAGTCGTTCTGCGACGAGGGGAGAAAGACGTTGGAAGAGGGATCCAATGGGAAGGGGTTGGGGGGGGGCAGGGGGGAGGGGGGAGGGGGGCGGGGGGAAGTAGGTAGGAGTCCGTGTCCGTGTTTTGGGGAAGGGGTGAGATACGAGGCGGGGGGGAGGAGGGGGGTGGGGGAGAAGTATGTAGGAGGAGCCCGTGTCCGTGTCGCCATGCAAGCGACGGCTCGGCGAGTCGTTCTGCGACGACGAGGGGGGAAAGGAGGAGGATGGGGGCAAACGGCGCAATGAGCGAAGAGGTTCGGAGGGAAAGAGGTTCGGAGAGGAAATGGTTCGGAGAGAAAGAGGTTCGGAGGAAAAGAGGTTCGGAGGAAGAGAGGTTCGGCTTGAGCGAGAGGGCGAGGGAACAGCAGAGTTTGTCAGACAGGCTCTTAGTAGCGCCGTCTAAGCAGGTGCCGTGACAGACGGCGTGACAGACGCCGTGACAGACGATGTCCTCGTCCAATGGCAGGAAGACGTTAGGCGGCGTACCATAGAGTCCACGTCAGCAGCGGCCTCCACGTCAGCGTCGTACGCGTTGTCCACGTCACCGTCAGTCGAGAAACCAGCCGCGCGGCGCGAGACCTCGTCGGAAAACGCCGACTTGTCCGTCATATTCGGGGGAAACGCCATGCTGGCGACGGCCGTTAGGCTCAGCTTATGTCGAGGATTAAGTGTAACGCAAGGACTACTACTAGGTGGCTGTCAGCACGTAACCGAGTGTGGGAACACTACTTCATACTAGTAGTAGTAGTTGTGCCAAAGAGTTGAATATTCGCCTACTATTCGCGAAAAGCATGACTTGCCTACGCCCACTTTCGTCTAAACGAGAATGCGAACGAAGCCATTCACCAGCGTTCGACAACAGTCTCCGGGCCCAGCGTTCGCAAGGGTTCTCGAGTGGAGCACGTCAGTGTTCCTCGACGCGCCAAGCTGAACGCACGAGTGCTCGACCCTAGTACTGTAAGTAGTAAACACGGCTCGCTGAATCTGGGTCTAACGTATGGCGACTGGCACCGCCAAGCGCCGCACTGGCATCTCACAATACCACGTAGTGTGGTACCTAGGGGTGGCGAGGAGATGGGCTGCTCTGCAGAAAGCAGCGGGTTTGCGCAACCTCGCCTCAAGTCAAGCCTGGGGAGGGAGAGTTACACGATGACGCGGCGCGGTTCGTAAAAGAACAGGTAGGGCAGCCCGGAAGATACACAATGGGCAAATCTTGGGTGGTCACGACGACTCACGACTAACGACAACTCGCACCCCTTTCGTAGAGTAGGGCCGAAAAAGTAACTCGGAAACTCGGTAACCCGGCTGGTGTTGTGAGGTGCAATGGGACGATAGGGAGGGGGCGGGGAGGTTGGGGGCTCGGTACGGTAGAGGCGGGGGCGCCTAGGCATGGTGGTGGTGCTTTTACAGTGTACAGTACACTTGTGCGAACAAGCTCGGGAGTGAGGGCCCCTCTTCGAGGGAGCTACAGTTGTTTGTGGCACGTTGCTTCACCCCTTCTACCGAACCGACCGAACCGAACGACGTTCGGTTTGCCTATTGGTTCCTTGGCATGCCAGCTGTGCCTAGAGAGAGTACAGTCAGTAGTTCAGTTCGGTTCTGTGCGGTGAATAACCCTCTAATGTGGGGGAAATGACTAGGAAAGTGATGAAGGCCGCCGTCGGCTCGGCTCGGCGAGGCTTGAACTGTTGAAGAGAGGTTCGGAGTCTAGTTTGCCAAGCTTTGAAGTGGGATGTTGGGGTGTCAGCGCAGTGGAGGTTGTGTGCAGAGACGGCCAAACGCACTGCGACTCACCGACAGATTCCATAGGTGCGGGGATAGGCGATCCATAAAGTATGCACGTCTAGCAACTACAAGACTTCAAGTGGAACCATCAAAATACAGCAATTTATACATGATTTATTGATCATACGATTTTCCAAGCATTTATGGAGGTGGCTTTTTCGAAAGACAACACATGTACTCTTTGGCTGCCAGCCACCTCATACCTTTTCGGACCTGCTAGTACATTCCTTTGTGACCGTGTTCTTGCCTGCGGCGGGGCTCACTGTTGCATTGCAATCAACACCAACCTGCATGGAAAAATGGGCACCACATAAGCAAAACGTAACCAAGAATCTACATACTCAGACCAAGGTCAATATGCAGCCGGGCACTTCGACATACCTTATAGGTCGGAGAGGAGAACGTCCAGAATTGAGCTTTCCCTTCAGAGATACCAAGAATCTGAGAAGTATGGTCAAGAACAAAGAATGTATGTTAAAAATATAAATAACAGATGCCAATGCAGCTCAAAGATAAGTAACAGGCATAATAAGGACGCGGGGACTCTACCGATGAATGTGAGGTCTGCAACTCCAAACTTACCTTCACCTTGAGTTTCTGCACCATGAGGGAGCTGCCAATGATGCTGTCACTGCTAAGCGACCAAGGGTGCGTGTACCGAGCACAGAATGAGAGGAGTTACCTGGCACACTGGACCCACCTTCATCTTGAGCTTCTGCGCCAGGAGAGAGCTGCCAATGACGCTGTCACTGCTGAGAGACACCAGGGGCACGTTGACAATCTTCATGGGGAGAGTGAGGCTGATGTTCTGCTTGCTGGGGGACCAGAACTCGCCCAGCTGAACAAGGGGTGGATGGACGGGGCATGAGAGGGGGGAAAGGGAGCAGGGATTAGCTAGAGTGCGGTGAGCGACTATATGGGGAGAGTGAGGTGGTTGTTTTGATGGCTGGGGGACCAGAATTCGCGCAGCTGAACAAGGGGTGGATGGAAGGGGCACACAATAACACAAGGGAGAGGAGCAAATTCAATGTAAGCAGAAAAGGGACATACATGTATAAGTACAACCAGAAAAGGCAAGCTTTACTTACCGAGACATTGGAAACGCTCATATTGAAGAGCGACACGAACATGTCCGGATAGTGGGAAATACGTATGTAGGGACATATATGTAAGTACAATCAGAAAGATAAGCTTTGCTTACCGAGACATTGGAGACGCTCATATTGAAGAGGGAGACGAACAGGTCCAGGTACTTCACTTGGAAATCGTATTTGTTCGGATTGTACACATTCGCCGTAACGTTAATGAGCGCGTTCATATTGAGGGTGAAATTGCTCGGGTCTGCCAGCAGGCTTCCGAGACTGCTCCCCAGATTCTCCAGCGCTCCCCCCAAGGGTCTCCCCAGGGCATCCCCGATACTAGCTCCCAGCCCGCCAAGACTAGTGGTTAGGTCACTGTTGGTGCCAGTTCCGTTGAAGCTTAGCCGTACGATGTCGATCTTTTCAATCCGGATCACGGGAGACTGGAGGGGGGAAAGAAAGGGAGAGGGGGGAGGGGAGGAGAAGAGTGGGAGGGGTGAGGGAAAGGGGTGTGACAGACAGGCAGACAGACAGACCGACAGGCAGAGGAGGGAAAGCAGGGATTGACATAGGGAGCTAGACCCCCCACTTGATTTTGGGCCCAACTGGTAAATTGTGCGGTCTTATCCGTTGTTAATTTTCCTTCGCAAAATCTGAAATATTGATTCGTGCAGGAAACATCACTACCTTGTTTCGGGCACAGCGATCTTGTCGCCCAGCCCATCGCATTAACTGCCAAGTTGCCTCAGCTGTTTCGAAACGGCCCAATTCTTGAATTGAAGTAGAGGGGTAATTTTCGGAGGTCCGTCATACATTCACCAAGGGCTTAAAGGTGCACGCAACAACGAGGATGGAGATTCCGACGATGGTCAAGAGGAGTGAGAAGAGGAGCTCGCATGTTATCGCGACAGTCTGCCACGTGCAGCAACCGCGCTTCTGCTGCTGCTGATGCTGCTGGTGGGTGCTAGGCTCACCTCGGGCTTAAAGGTGCACGCGACAACGAGTATGGCGATTCCGACGATGGTCAAGAGGAGTGAGAAGAGGAGCCCGCACGTGATGAGGATGTTTTGCCACGTGCAGCAACCGCGCTTCTGCTGCTGCTTCGCCGCCTGATCCATCTCGAAGGAATCGAAGGCCTCTGTGTCCGCCATGTATTGCTCCTTCTGCAAGAGAAAACACAGGCAGGAAGGGGGGAAGGGAGGAGATGTTTACAAGCAAATACAGAAAAATCCGCCTGAACCAATTCAACGACATCGAAGGCCTCTGCGTCCGCCATGTATTGCTCCTTCTGCTATAGAAAACACACGAGGGAAGGGGGGAACGAGGTGACTTTTGAGTCCACTCAAAAGTCACCTCCCTTCTGCTATAGAAAACACAGGCAGGAAGGGGGGGAACGTCATGAGCGAATATAGAATCATCCGCCTGATCCGTGTCCAAGGCATCCAACGTCTCTGCTTCCGCCACGTGTTGCTAGGATGACAACAGAGCGGTCAGTTCAAACAATGAGAGAGCGACGTGCGACGAGATTGAGCGACGGCATAATTACAATGCGATACGAGTGACTAAAGGAGAGAAGAGGAGTACCACAGGACACAAAGAGTAACGTGGATAATGGCCATGCGAGACGCGACACGTCGATGACACACAAGGTTGCGAAGCAGAGACGTGCTTCTACGCGGACAGTAAGCCCGTGGATGACGCACCGCTGCTATGCACAGACGAGCTTCTACACAGTCACAAAGCACGTCGATGACATAAGGCTGCGAAGCTGAGACGTGCTTCTACGCAGACAGTAGGCTCGTTACTCAAAAATAGACTCGTAACGCACGGGTTCTACGCAAACGGTAATCCCGTGGATAAACGTACGTAAGGCTGCTCGAGGTCGTACGTGCTTCTCGTGATGCCCGAGTACTTCTCCTCCTGGTCCACTTACCCAGAACTTGAAACATTTCAAATACATCGCAAACGTTATTCACGTACATATGGCTGCTCGAGGTCGTTCGTGATGTCCGTGTACTTCTCCTCCTGGTCCACGCGGGCTGAATTGCTTCTGATAGGGTGAAAATCACCTTTGCCCATAATATCTCCAACTCGCGGATGCTGCGGAAAACGCGCAGCTCAATCTACGGAAAATACGCTGGTCAAGTCGCTAGTTCTTGGGAACAAACGTGCCCTGCTGAGGAGGAGGTTCGGTTGCAGAAGCAGGTTGGAATGAAGACTAGGGACGAGACAAGGTGACTCTTGAGTCGACTCAAAAGTCAGCAGGTTGGAATGTAGACTATTGACGAGACAGCGGAATGCTGTCTGGGAGGCGGAAGCGAACAAGCTGATGATATTTTACGAGCTGCGAACACAGCAGTTCAAGCGCTGTTTGGTTATTAGAGGATCAGTTTCAGGGGACCGAATTCTGACTACGGCTTATCCGATACGCCGACTATGTTGCCAACAAGCCTAAGATCAAGGCATTGATAATGGTTCTTGCGACTAGGGAGTTGCTGGCTCATAGCAACTACTGAATGGTACTTCAGGATTCAGTAGACTGAAGTACTACTGTAAATAAGTAGGTGATGCTTGTGGCCGGCCCCTCACCTCCCAACCAACAGCAAGGTGAGGAGGATGGAGGCAAGCTGTCGCACGGAGAGAGGGGTAACACTAGCGAGCTGACGCTCAAGCCCTCGCATGAATGGTGGTAACACTCTTAACGGTTCCCTAGCGATGTGCGACAGCTGGATTCTGATGATTGGGGAAGTGGATTCCCCCAGAAAGGACAGAAGTGGTGGTACCCGATGCCCGATGACTCTGGGTAAACTCGATGGCCCGATTATGTCGGATGGCGGTGGTCGAGAGCTGCGACCGGCCTACCGACCCAACCAGAACATTCGATTGGATGCGAACATTTCCGCCAGTGAACAAGAGACCAGACGAACAACTGATGGATCGCGAAACGCCTCGATATTTGTTCCATGGATTTGGCGGGGGAACGAGGACCACAGCTGGAGCCGGAGCGCCTGCTACCACAACCTACGTAGGTCTGGCAGGCAACGCGATTCGGAGGTTGTCAGCCGCGCTGGGGCTAGGAAGGGCGCGACTGATCGTGCAGTTACACCGACATTTCAAACGTTTACGCAGTGCGTTTGCATGTACAGCGGGTAGAGGAATCACGAGATTCGTGAGATGGTGAAATGATTTAAACCGCTTGTATATATCTTGTAAGAACCATCATACAAGCTACCCAATGTGATTTGTCCATACTATTTGATATTCACGCATTAAATATAGGCACTAAACTTCAACGCACATGACATGCTCATGCAAACGAAGTTGGTCTTTCTATCGTTAGGCTTTCGACCTTGTCTTAAAGCACTTTTGTCGAAAGAGTTGGTTCCCTCCAAATGGGTCGACGGTGATATTGCACGCAATAAGGAGCTGCAACCCAAGTCAGTGGACGATGGAAGAAAAAATGAGAACAAAACTAATACAAGTATCATGAAGAAGGCCGAGAACTTGCGGTTCCGGTACTCACATTGTATGATGGTGTTGTCATTCCCATAATCTTCACCTTGCCTCTGGAGTTTATATTGAGCTGTTGCACAAGCATGGACCGATAATCATGGAACGATGAATAAGGCGATGCAGCGAAGCACGCCTTGTGAACAAGCATACGCAATGTCAAACGAGCCACCCACATGTTTCCATATCTCACCTTGACATCCACTTGACCCTTTCGGAGCGAGGTTGTAATGAGGTTGTCCTTGTTGCCCGTAGCAAGAAGTGGAAGATTCTTTATGGGAAACGGAATGCTCAGTGTAGTGTTTCCCTTCTTGGACAGCTCGAAACCCGGCACCTGGATGAAATGGGAATCGGCGGCACGCATTAAGTGTGGAACATATGTTAGTGGTTGCGGATTAACGAATAGGAGGAAAAGTGCACCCTCATTGAGCAGTTCACTGCCATTTGCACTCAGTGTAGTTAATCTATTGATGAGGGGCTTAGGCAGTCAAATCACTGTACAACCACTCTCCCTGCAATCCATATCTCACCGAAGTGATGGCAATGTCGACATTGAACAGCGTCAGATCGACATTCAGCGTCTCCACTATGTCGTCATGGTTGTTGGGGTTAACCACCAATGCTATAGCGTTCAAGGACGTACCACTCGAAAAAAATCCAGCGCGTACCGAGGTGTTGGCGATGTTGACATTGAAGAGCTTCAGGTTGACATTGAGCATCTCCACAATGACCTCGTGGTTGTTAGGGTTAACCACCAGCGCCTTCACGTCCGCCATCCCGTTCGCCTTTATCTTGAAGTTGTTGAAGTCAAACAGAAGGTTCCCGGACGTCCCAAGGTCCAGCTGTGTCAGATCCACCTTGAGGATTTCAAACTTGGGGTCCTGAGGTGCAGATAATGGGCAGGAGGGGTGGAATGGAGAGGATGTGATCTCAAACTTTGGGTCCTGAGGTGCAGATAATGGGCAGGAGGGGTGGAATGGAGAGGATGGGATCTCAAACTTTGGGTCCTGAGGTGCAGATAATGGGCAGGAGGGGTGGAATGGAGAGGATGTGATCTCAAACTTTGGGTCCTGAGGTGCAGATAATGGGCAGGAGGGGTGGAATGGAGAGGATGGGATCTCAAACTTTGGGTCCTGAGGTGCAGATAATGGGCTTTCTGGGGGGAAGGAGGAGGAGGAGAAGGGGAGTCACATTTGAGAATCCTAAAATAATCTGCATGAGATCCGCCTTGAGGATTTCAAACTTTGGGTCCTGCGGCGAACAAGAGGGAGGGAAAGGAGGGAGGAGGGTGGTTGGGAGGGTGGGATTGAGGGGCGGCCGTGTCAATAAAACATGGAGTTTATCTTGAGACGTCTCAAAATAAACCTACTTTTACGAGGGGCGTGGGGAGGGTGGGATAGAGGGGAGACCATCTCAATGGAGCAAGAGGGGACTGTTATGCAAATCTCTCAAAACGCTGATGTGTCCTCCACGAGGGAAAGAGGATGGGAGGAGAAAAGAGGGGGTGGGACGGCAAGAGGGATGGAAGATGTGACTGCGGACAAGGCTGGTGAGCAGAAACGGAATGGTAAGGTGCATGGAGACATGGGGTGGGTGGGGGAGGAAGGCATGTGGAGGAAGCACAGCAGCGGAATCCAAATGAAGCACAGTCAGCAATGAGCTGTATTTTCCGCCTAGTGCACGGGAATGCATCCTTCTTGGAGAGCTAGCTCGGTGTTAGAACGTGAGAGCGAGAAGGAGAATCGCCAATCCGAGCCCAATAAGCACCGGAGATACGAAGAGGCCTGTCCACGTGGCAACGTCGCACCACCCGAAGGAGAGGGGAGACGCCCATCCACGCGAGTGAGTGTCGAACGCCATATCCGACTTTTGAGTCGACTCAAAGGTCAGAGGCCCGTCCACGCGAGTGAAGCGGGAGAGCTGACCTCGGTGCTGAACGTGAGAGCGAGGATGAGAATAGCCACGCCGAATCCAACGAGCGCCAGCGATACAAAGAGCCCCGTCCACGCCGCTACGTCGCACCACCCGCAGTTTCGCCGCCGCGCGCTCGCGCCCTTCCCTCCGCTCTTCCTCGCACCCTTGTCCCTGCTGGCATCCGCCTTCAGCTGCGCTTTCGTTAGGTCTGCCGCGGACGCCTGGGAAATGGGGGAGAGAACGGGGGAAGGGTTAGGCGGGAATGGGTCAGGAAGGGGGAAGGAGGGGGAAGAAGGTAGGGGAAGGAAGAAGGAAGAAAGGATAAGGCAGGTGGGGAGGAAAGGGATACGCAGAGTGAGACAGGGAAGGCGTCGACTACTACCAGCCTCGAAGCTTCATCAAAACGGAGACTCGAACACCGGTCTCACGGTTGGAACAAGAGTATCTCGGCCCTGTGGGATGAGGAGGCGCGGAAATGAAACGTCATGACACGTGGGGAGCATCACGACACGTGGGGAGCATCACAACACGTGGCGCTTGGTAAGTTCTCCTGGGAACAAGGTGCAGCGCAGGGCACGACAAAGACTACTAAGTCGACTCAGCAGAAGTAAGTTTGGAGAGACTACTAAGTTTGGAGAGACTACTAAGTTTGGAGAGACTACTAAGTTTGGAGAGCCTTTGCGGAAACACGTGACAGCACAACGCACGTCACGAGGCGCGCCTCTTTGAGCCTCGCCTGGGCTGCCGTTGGAGACTGTTCCCCCGCACGGCACGGAACGCAAGACTGCACGGCACGGCACGACACGACACGACACGGCACGACACGAGGCGCGCCTTTTTGAGCTTCGCCTTGGCCGCCCGCATGGAACCACACCTGTATGTCGAGTGTTTCCCCGCTGACTCAAACACAGCGCACGGAACGGAACGCAAGACGGCACGGCGCGGCACGGCACGACACGGCACGACACGGAACGACACGTCACGGCACGGCACGGCACGCAAGACAGCACAGCACGGCACGGCACGGCACGGCGGGGCACGGCACGGGACGGCACGGCACGGGACGGGACGGACCTCAATGAACTTCGCCTTGGCCGCCGTCGGGGACTCCACTGTCGACCTTTCCCCCACCTGGAACCATACCTGTATTTTGAGTGTTTCCCCGCGCACTCAAAATACACCTGGACAGCTCACGGCACGGCATGGGACGGCACGGACGGCACGGACGGCACGGACGGCACGGGACGGCACGGGACGGACCTCAATGAACTTCGCCTTGGCCGCCGTCGGGGACTCCACGTCCGCCATTGTTGCGTCCGCCCCCGCCGGTGCCGCCGCGCCCCCGAGCTCCTCGTCGTACCCCATACTGTCAGAGATGGCCTGAGGCGGTCTGATGCGGTCTGAGATGGTTTGAGATGGTTTGAGATGGTTGGAGATGGTTGGAGATGTTGTGAGACGCCTCGAATCCCCTGCTGCTTCTGGGTCAATCTCCTTCCGTTGCTGTTTTTCTGGGCGAAGGCGGGGCTAGTAGCCGCGGGAAAATGTTCACGATTGGGCGATTTCACTCCGAGTCGGGAACGGTGCCAAGAATAGAGACGTTCTTTGCTGGGAGACGGTCTTCGCTTGCGACGGTATTCTGCGAAACGTTGCGCTGGAAAGACTATTGTGGCTCAGCAAGTTCCTAGTCTTCGCTGATGACTCACGAGTCCTATCTTCCGACCCGAAATCTACGCTGCGTGCGAATTTCAGCGCTCGTAACAAACAACCAGGCGACCGACAACGTGGACGGAAAGACGACGGCTTTGCTTGGGTTGGTTTGGGGCGCGCTGGTTGAAGGTCGAGTCGACGTCGAGTCGCCGATGACTCGAACGAAGTGAAGGAGTGGCTTGGTGGAAAGGTGACGGTGAGGTTTGGAAAGGTGACGAAGCGGCGAGGTTTGGTAAGGGTACGGAACGAGGCGAACTACGTGGTATGGCGCGAGGCTAGGTTCGTTTGAGATGTAGTGGGCGAGTGTGGTTTGGGAGGTATGGAGTGATGGGAAGTGTGAGAAACGCAGAGTACTGAAGAAGGTTCGGGAACCGAGATTTCGGCTCGGGGCAGAACGGACTAGGGAGCGCCCAGCCCCTCGTTACTGGTCTCTGCCGCGCGGATGCAGAAAATGGAGGAAAATCGACGAGCTGGCGAAAATGTTAACGACGGACGAGGTGCGTCTGACGAAAGGCATGGCGAAAGAGTAGCGACATGACGGGAGATACGGGCAGAGTGAGCCTGAGAATCACACAATATTGGCGGGGGCCGAAGCAAATGGCTCGGTGAACCCGCGGTTTGAGGCTTCGGCTTCGTGAGTTCTGACAGCGTGAGTTCGCCGGCGGTGGGCGACGGCAGAGAGAGTCGCACGCACGCACGTCGGTGAAATGACACTCCCATTCAGTCGCAGACCGAACAGTCGGTGGGGTGGTGAGTGATGCAGTTTCTTGGAAAGCCCCTGTGTACCCGTTAAACTACATCCGTGGAAAGCGAAAAGAACAACACAAGTATTCAGAGGCAAAATGAAGCGTGGAAAGTTTTCTTTACAGTTAGTTCTCTGGATCATATATAGTGAAATAAATTGGTAAAATATTTTTCTGGTTCATATTATGTGATATTTTACAAAAAAAAAATAGTTAACATTTTTTTGCTGGGTGAAACCCTACTCACCATATCTTAGGCAGAAAATACGTTTAGAACTTCTTGTACGCTTACGAGTTCTGTACTAAACGGTAGTGTTATCATGGCTAGTGCACACCAGTTGGAGATTCGTAGACTACTCATCAAGCGACACTCGGCACTACTCAAACACGTGGCGTGTTCGAGGCCACGAAAGCCCTATCTTATTGGACGTAAATAGACGCTTTTTCTCGAACCCCATTCGTCACCCGCGAACAGAACCAATTGGATCCGAATGTCGTCCTGAGCTGGGTCACCAAACCTGAAAATCTCTGCGGGAATCACCACAGAGACTCACATTATGCCAGAGGACGAATTCAGTTTGGCTCACTCTAGTGACGGCCAATCAAATCCTTTATTTATGCTCCCCGAAACGAGTTTAGGGTTGATGCCTACCAAATGACATCCAGGTCCCCCTGGGCTTTATATTTTTCCGTTGCCCGAAAATGAATGTCATGTGAGTGAGCCAAAATGATTTTGGCTCTGGCATAATGTGAGTGCGGCTGATCTTGCCCCAAATCTCCAGCTTGACAGCGACAGCCTAAGCGACGAAACAGCCTCGGCGATTTCCGAACCATAGTTACTGGACGTTATGGACTCGGCGAGCCTCGAGCTCAGGCTCGCTTACCTGACCATGGCCACCGGTTCGACTCTCACTCACACACAACAGAACAGAACGCAGCAGCAGGAGTACAGCAATCTACTAGAGTGTTGTTTCTCACAAACCTGACCTGATCCTACCTTTCCTCCAGATCAGGTTAGAGTATTAGGTCTCTTCTCTACAAGATAGGTCTCTTCATCGACCTAGGGATTCCTGCAGGATCCCGCCTCGATGGCTGACCTGTCCTGATTGTTTTCTAGCCTTCCATCTCCATCTGAGAATAATAAACGGCTATCTTTTCTCTGAAGGTATAGCTTCGCCAACTCGCGACACCAACGCACTTGATATGTGCGAACGGCGAAGAGCAAAGACCGACCGCGGAGAATAAGTTACAGCTCGTTACTGGAAAGTGCCTTGTTGAAGATTAACTCAGCGATTGTGTATGTAGGCTAAGCTGCGATCGCACAGCTCTTCTAACTCGGTTCATTCGTCGCGATCCTTATATGTTGTCTAAGCGCCGTAACGGCTATTACCTTACATAGAATCGCTTAGATTCCGCCAGCGAGGATCTGAAGGTCAGAAGGTCGATCACCGCGGCGCTGGAAGATCGGACGGCTGGTGGAATTCGATTGAACGGCGGAGATCTGGCGTCCACGGCGCGAGGCGGTGGGGAGGGGGAAGGGAGGGGGAAGGGAGGGGCGAAGGGAGGGGGAAAGCGGTAGGCGCGTGAAGAAATGGATGGCGGAGCTGCCGGAGGAGCAGCGGTCGAAGCTGTTCAGCGGCATGGCTGGCGCTGGCGCAGGTGAGGATAGGTTTAAGAAATGCGGGAGAAAGGGGGGGGGGGGGGGGGGGGGGGGGAGAACGGGAGAATCGTTGATGGCGGAGTTGCGGGAAGAGCAGAGGTTGGAGCTGTTCAGCGGCATGGCTGGCGCTGGCGCAGGTGAGAAAGGATTGAAGGGAAGGGAAAGGGAGGAATGGGAATGGGAATCAGGGGGTCAAAAGGGATGCAGGGTGAGAGGTATGGCGGATCTGCCGAAGGAGCAGCGGTCGAAGCTGTTCAGCGGCATGGCTGGCGCTGGCGCAGGTGAGGATAGGTTAAAGAAATGCGGGAGAGGGGGGTGGGGGTGTAAGGGGTCTATTTTTGAGGCGCCTAAAAAATAGAGGGGGGTGGGGGTGAAAGGGGGAAATTAGGGGGGGGGGGGGGGAGGGGTTAGGGGGGTTAGGGGGGGTTAGGGGGGTTAGTGGGGGTTAGTGGGGGTTAGTGGGGGTTAGTGGGGGTTAGTGGGGGTTAGTGGGGGTTAGTGGGGGTTAGTGGGGGTTAGTGGGGGTTAGGGGGGTTAGGGGGGAGGGTCAAGATGTAAGGGACTTGGGGGCACAGGAGAAACGCTGGTGGCGGAGTTGCGGGAAGAGCAGCGGTTTGGAGCTGTTCAGCGGCATGGCTGGCGCTGGCGCGGGTGAGGAGAGGGGGAAGGGGGGAGGGATTGGGGCGAGTGAGGAGAAGCTTTCAGCGGCATGGCTGGCGCTGGCGCAGGTGAGGAAAGGGGTGGGCGGAAAGAACGGGGAAAGAGAAGCAGGGGGCGGAATGAAAGCGGGGAGTGGGAGGGGGGGCGGAATGGAAGCGGGGAGTGGGAGGGGGGGCGGAATGGAAGCGGGGAGTGGGAGGGGGGGCGGAATGGAAGCGGGGAGTGGGAGGGGGGCGGAATGGAAGCGGGGAGTGGGAGGGGGGGCGGAATGAAAGCGGGGAGTGGGAGGGGGGGCGGAATGGAAGCGGGGAGTGGGAGGGGGGGCGGAATGGAAGCGGGGAGTGGGAGGGGGGGCGGAATGAAAGCGGGGAGTGGGAGGGGGGGCGGAATGGAAGCGGGGAGTGGGAGGGGGGCGGAATGAAAGCGGGGAGTGGGAGGGGGGGCGGAATGGAAGCGGGGAGTGGGAGGGGGGCGGAATGAAAGCGGGGTGTGGCGGCGTTGCGGGAAGATGAGCGGTCGAAGCTCTTCAGCGGCATGGCGGGCGCGGGGGCAGGCGCAGGCGCAGGCGCAGGCGCAGGCGCAGGCGCAGGCGCGGACAGGGGTTAAAGGAAAGAAGGGTGTAACGGAGGGAGCTGTAGCCCGTTGCTTCCCCAGGAGTTGTAGCCGCGACGTTTGTAGCCCTGACCTTTCCCATTCCCATCCCCTCCTTCCCCCCCCCCCCCCCGCCTCTCCCCCCTTCCCCCCCTCCCCCTTCCTCCCCCTCCTCCCCCCGCCCCCCCCTCCCGTCCATTCTTCCACTGGCGCCAGGAGCTGTAGCCGCGACGTTTGTAGCGCCCCTTGACGTGGTCAAAACCCGCCTGCAAGTGCTGGGCGCTCACCAAGCCTCCACGTCAGCAGCAGCTGCTGCGCTACGCTCGACTGCAAGTGCGGGAGGATCGACAGGAGGGCCGGTAGCAACAGGGGGGCCAGCAGCAGCAGCAGCAGCAGCAGCAGCTAGGGCGCCACCAGCTGCAGCGTCCAACTCCTCCCTGCCGTTTGCCAGGATAGCGACCGCCCTCGCCACTCCCCCCTCCGCCTCAGCAGCAGCAGCAGCCGCAGCAGGGGCAGGGGGAGCAGCGGGAACATCAGGGGGGCCGGGGGCGGGGGTGGGCGCGGGGGCGGGGGTGAGGGCAGCAGCGGCGGGGCGGTGGCGCATGGGCGTGATAGCGGGGTCGCTGCAGACCATCTGGCGCACGGAGGGGCTACGGGGGCTCTATAGGGGGCTCTCCCCCACCATGGTGGCTCTGCTGCCAAACTGGGCGGTACGTATGGGGGAGGGTGGGTTTGGGGTTGGGATGGGGAAAGTTGGGGAGGTGGGAGGGGCTAGGAGCGCATGGGAGTGATAGCGGGGTCGCTGCAGACGATTTGGCGCGCGGAGGGGCTGAGAGGGCTCTACAGGGGGCTGTCTGTCCCCCACCATGGTGGCTCTGCTTTTGAGGCGCCTCAAAACTAGACTCCTATCACGCGGATTTTATATTTTGAGGCGCCTCAAAACTACGCTGCAGACGATTTGGCGCGCGGAGGGGCTGAGAGGGCTCTGTAGGGGGCTGTCCTGTCCCCCACCATGGGGGCTCTGCTGCCCAACTGCACTGTAGGTGAAAGGGGGGGAGGGCTATGAGCGCCCGGAGGGGCAGAGGGGGCGCTATAGGAGTCTCTCCCCCGCCATGGTTGCACTGCTGCCCAACTGGGCGGTAGGTGCAAGGGGTGGGAGAGGGGGGGCGGGGAGATGGTCACTCGCGGGGAGGGGGAGGGTGCAAGGGGCGGGGAGATGTGGGATATCAGTAGACGGTCACTCGCGGGCGCTAAGCGAGCCGAAACCAAGCATCCTTGCTCCCTTCCCCAATGACATTTGCGTCTTTCACCTGCTCTCACTCTCCTTCTGTCTCTTCTCTCCGGCAGGTGTACTTTTCAGTGTACGATCACTTAAAGCTGATACCAAGCGAGCCCGAGTGCAAGCATTCTCGCCCCGCTCCGTAATGTCTCTTCCTCTCCTCTCTCTCCTTCTGGCTCTCCCCTCTGACAGGTGTACTTTTCAGTGTACGATCACTTGAAGCGGATGCTGAGCGAACCGAGTGCAAGCGCAGGTGAGTTATTGAGTGCAACTATTGTTATGCTAAGGAACGAATCTATTTCAGTTGGTTCCTTCACTTTTCAGTGTACGATCACTTAAAGGGGATGCTGAGCAAACCAAGTGCAAGCGCAGGTGTGTTAATGGATGGTCCCGTGCGTTTTGAGAATCCTACAAAAAGAAAATCTCACTGAGTAAACCAAGTGCAAGTGCAGGTGTGCTAACGGATGGACCCACGCGTTTTGGTGCATGGCGTGGGTGGCACATCACCAATATTGCCACATCCTGGGTATATTGGAGTGTATGCAGTACGGTGTGGATGGGTGCAAGCAAACCCACTGGAAGTATACAATCATACATGGAAGAAGTCTATTTTTTAGACGCCTCCCCCTGCTCCCCCTGCTCCCCCTGCCCCCCCTGCTGCCCTTGCTCCCCCGGCTGCCATATCTTCCACACATGCTTTTTGAGGCTCCTCAAAGGCAATCATCTGTTGCTGTTGCTGTTGCCCTCCCTTCCTCCCTCCCTTCCTCTCTCCCTTCCTCCCTCCCTCCCTTCCTCCCTTCCTCCCTCCCTTCCTCCCTTCCTCCCTCCCTTCCTCCCTTCCTCCCTCCCTTCCTCCCTTCCTCCCTCCCTTCCTCCCTTCCTCCCTCCCTTCCTCCCTCGCACCTTGTTCGTCCTTACTCCTACTCCAGCTCCCAGCGACCACCAAGAAGCATCGCAACAGGGACCAGAACAACCGCCGCAGGAGGAGCAGCAGCAGCCACGGCCGCCACCGCAGCAGTTGTCACTGGGAAGGAGTGTGGTGGCCGCAGCAGGAGCGGGCACGGCTACTGTCCTAGCTACCAACCCGCTGTGGGTGGTGAAGACACGCCTACAGGTGGGCTGTTTTGCTGGTTTCAGGTGGATGTTAGGCTTGTGGGTCTGGTGTGGCAGCCGCAGCTGTCGCTGGGAAGGAAGGAGTGTGGTGGCCGCAGCGGGAGCGGGCACGGCTACTGTCCTTGCCACCAACCCGCTGTGGGTGGTCAAGACACACCTACAGGTGGGTTTCTCAGCGCCCCCCCCCCGCCCCCATTTTTTCTCCCCCTTCCAATTCAACCCCGCCATCCCCTCTCCCTCCTCTCCTGAAGACACCTCTGTTCCCCCTACCCTCTCCCCCTTCCCCCTACCCTCTCCCCCTTCCCCCTACCCTCTCCCCCTTCCCCCTACCCTCTCCCCCTTCCCCATTGTGTCATGAGTCGATTTTTGAGTCGACTAAAAAATCGACTCATTACACAAGACACCTCTTTTCCCCCTACCCTCTCCCCCTTCCCCCCTGCACTCACCCGCTCCTACCAGGCCCAAGCAATGCGCACCAACAGTCGGCCGTGCCTAGGAACGTATTTTTGAGGCGCCTAAAAAATAGACTCCTCACGCAATGTGCGCCAGCAGGCGGCCGTACCGAGGAACGTATTTTTGAGGCGCCTCAAAAATAGACTCCTCACGCAATGCGCGCTAACAGTCGGCCGTACCTAGGAACGTTTCTCGCCCTCCTCCCTTCCCTCGCCTCTCCCGTCTCTCCCCCCTTCTCCGCCCCCTCCTCCCCTCGTCACTCCTCCCTTCACCCCCTCTGCCTCCCCCCTCCCCCCCCCCCCCCCACTTCTCAACACCAGACCCAAGCCATGCGCACCAACAGGCGGCCGTACAGGGGAACGTTTTCAGCCCTGGTGCGAATCACCAGGGAGGAGGGGCTGGGAGGGCTGTACAGGTGAGGGCTGTACTGGGGAGGGCTGTACTGGGGAGGTGTGAGGGGATGGGTGAGGGTTGAGGGGTGAACGCTCTCAGCCCTGGTGCGAATCACCAGGGAGGAGGGGCTGGGCGGGCTGTACAGGTGAGGGTCACTGAGAGGGGTGCATACATGTGAGGTGAGGGATGAACCGTTTTAACCCTCGTGCGACTAATCAGAGGGGAGGGGCTGGGAGGTAAGTACAGGGGAGGGGCTGGGAGGTATGTGCATGAGAGGGGCTCTGAGAGGGGTAGGCGAAGGATGGGTAGAGAGGTGAGGGAACTGGTGGAGGACTGAGAGGCGACTAAGCAGAGCGACTGCTTTTGAGTCGACTCAAAAACGTTTTCAGCCCTTGGGTGAACTAATTCAGTCCGAATTAGTTGTCATGGAAGAGTAGCAGCAGCGTAGGAAGGTCGCATTAGCAAAAAACTGACAGTTAGAAAAGAGCGTTCTCACTGTCAGTTCTCAGAGTACCCTGAGGGGGGGTGAACGTTCACAGCCCTTGTCCGAATCATCAAAAAGGGGAGGGGTGGGTTGGGAGGAAATCATCAAAAAGGGGAGGGGTGGGTTGGGAGGAAATCATCAAAAAGGGGAGGGGTGGGTTGGGAGGAAATCATCAAAAAGGGGAGGGGTGGGTTGGGAGGAAATCATCAAAAAGGGGAGGGGTGGGTTGGGAGGAAATCATCAAAAAGGGGAGGGGTGGGTTGGGAGGAAATCATCAAAAAGGGGAGGGGTGGGTTGGGAGGAAATCATCAAAAAGGGGAGGGGTGGGTTGGGAGGAAATCATCAAAAAGGGGAGGGGTGGGTTGGGAGGAAATCATCAAAAAGGGGAGGGGTGGGTTGGGAGGAAATCATCAAAAAGGGGAGGGGTGGGTTGGGAGGAAATCATCAAAAAGGGGAGGGGTGGGTTGGGAGGAAATCATCAAAAAGGGGAGGGGTGGGTTGGGAGGAAATCATCAAAAAGGGGAGGGGTGGGTTGGGAGGAAATCATCAAAAAGGGGAGGGGTGGGTTGGGAGGAAATCATCAAAAAGGGGAGGGGTGGGTTGGGAGGAAATCATCAAAAAGGGGAGGGGTGGGTTGGGAGGAAATCATCAAAAAGGGGAGGGGTGGGTTGGGAGGAAATCATCAAAAAGGGGAGGGGTGGGTTGGGAGGAAATCATCAAAAAGGGGAGGGGTGGGTTGGGAGGAAATCATCAAAAAGGGGAGGGGTGGGTTGGGAGGAAATCATCAAAAAGGGGAGGGGTGGGTTGGGAGGAAATCATCAAAAAGGGGAGGGGTGGGTTGGGAGGAAATCATCAAAAAGGGGAGGGGTGGGTTGGGAGGAAATCATCAAAAAGGGGAGGGGTGGGTTGGGAGGAAATCATCAAAAAGGGGAGGGGTGGGTTGGGAGGAAATCATCAAAAAGGGGAGGGGTGGGTTGGGAGGAAATCATCAAAAAGGGGAGGGGTGGGTTGGGAGGAAATCATCAAAAAGGGGAGGGGTGGGTTGGGAGGAAATCATCAAAAAGGGGAGGGGCTGGGCGGGCTGTAGAGGGAGGGGTGGGTTGGGAGGGGTTATGCGGTATGTGCAGGTGTGGGGAGACGTGCTGAGTTTAGGCTGAGTTTAGGCTGAGTTTAGGCTGAGTTTAGGCTGAGTTTAGGCTGAGTTTAGGCTGAGTTTAGGCTGAGTGTAGGCTGAGTTTAGGCTGAGTTTAGGCTGAGTGTAGGCTGAGTTTAGGCTGAGTGTAGGCTGAGTTTAGGCTGACTTTAGGCTGACTTTAGGCTGAGTTTAGGCTGAGTTTAGGCTGAGTGTAGGCTGAGTGTAGGCTGAGTTTAGGCTGAGTGTAGGCTGAGTTTAGGCTGAGTTTAGGCTGAGTTTAGGCTGAGTTTAGGCTGAGTTTAGGCTGAGTGTAGGCTGAGTTTAGGCTGAGTGTAGGCTGAGTTTAGGCCGAGTTTAGGCTGAGTGTAGGCTGAGTTTAGGCTGAGTTTAGGCTGAGTTTAGGCTGAGTTTAGGCTGAGTTTAGGCTGAGTGTAGGCTGAGTTTAGGCTGAGTGTAGGCTGAGTTTAGGCTGAGTTTAGGCTGAGTTTAGGCTGAGTTTAGGCTGAGTGTAGGCTGAGTTTAGGCTGAGTGTAGGCTGAGTTTAGGCTGAGTGTAGGCTGACTTTAGGCTGAGTTTAGGCTGAGTGTAGGCTGACTTTAGGCTGAGTTTAGGCTGAGTGTAGGCTGAGTTTAGGCTGAGTTTAGGCCGTGAGTTTTCCCGGCACATCTTGAAAACTGGTTCTGGGCTTTGCGTTTGGTTCTGGGCTTTGCGTTTGGTTCTGGGCTTTGCGTTTGGTCGGGGCTTTGCGTTTGGTCGGGGCTTTGCGTTTGGTCGGGGCTTTGCGTTTGGTCGGGGCTTTGCGTTTGGTCGGGGCTTTGCGTTTGGTCCTGGGCTTTGCGTTTGGTCGGGGCTTTGCGTTTGGTCGGGGCTTTGCGTTTGGTCGGGGCTTTGCGTTTGGTCCTGGGCTTTGCGTTTGGTCCTGGGCTTTGCGTTTGGTCCTGGGCTTTGCGTTTGGTCCTGGGCTTTGCGTTTGGTTCTGGGCTTTGCGTTTGGTCCTGGGCTTTGCGTTTGGTTCTGGGCTTTGCGTTTGGTTCGGGGCTTTGCGTTTGGTTCTGGGCTTTGCGTTTGGTTCTGGGCTTTGCGTTTGGTTCTGGGCTTTGCGTTTGGTTCTGGGTCTTATGTGTTCCCGGCTGAGTTTAGGTCTCGGCCTCCTGGGTCGGGGCTTTGCGTTTGGTGCGTTTGGTGCGTTTGGTGCGTTTGGTCCGTTTGTGAGCAGTGGCGTGGTGCCAGCTTTGGCGGGAATCAGCCACGTGGCCATCCAGTTCCCCATGTACGAGTACCTCAAGCAGCAGATCGCGTGCAGAGGTGAGAATGGGTGCCAACAGGTTCGCGTCAAGAGTTGGGATGGTTGCTTTCTGGCGTGGTGCCGGCCCTGGCGGGAATCAGTCATCCAGAGGTGCGTTGGTTGGTCTGGTGTGGCACTGTGTGACGTCACATGGCCATCCAGTTCCCCGTGTACGAGTACCTGAAGCAGCAGATAGCGTGCAGAGTGAGACGGTTGCTTTGAAGGGCATGTGATGGCATGTGATGGCATGTGATGGCATGTGGACACGTAGTGACTGGTGGTCTGGCCATTCAGTTCCCCATGTACGAGTACGTCAAGCAACAGGTAGCATGCACAGGTGAGAAAGGGTGCACAGGCGATGATGGTGACCTGCTATGTATGGCACGCTCGCTGTGGCCATTTAGTTACAGTTCCCCATGTACGAGTATCCGAAGCACGTTTGAGGAGTGCAGAGGCGACATGGTTGCTTTGTGGAGCATGTTATGGCGCATGGGAAATACATGCTTTTGAGTCGACTCAAAAGCATGTTCCCCATGTTATGGGACATGGGAAATACATTGTGACTAGTGCTGTGGCCATTCAGTTCCCCATGTACGAGTACCTCATGCAACAGATCGCACAGGTGAGTGAGTGAGCATGGCTTGTTTTGGGTTCACACATGCAGTGATGCCTGGTTGCAGCGGTGCCTAGTTCTCTAGAAAATGGTGCGAACTCTTCTGCCTAGAAGGCGGTGCAATTTAGTCTCCTCCCCGTGACAATTCAGTCCACTCCCAACCGTGAGGAGGGGTTTCACGGACACCTCCTCACCGCCTCCCACCTCCTCACGCCCTCCCACCTCCTCATGGCCTCCCACCTCCTCACCCGCCTCTGCCTTCCCATGTGTTCCCACCGCCCTCCCTCCTGACCTCCCTCTCTCGCCACCTCTTCCTACGTGGTGCTCTATCCTCTTTCTAAGTGGTGCTCTATCCTCTTCCCCCTGTGTGTCTTGCCTCAGGAGGGTCAACCACGGACACCCTCACCCCCTCCCAGCTGGCAGCGGCATCTGCGATCTCTAAAGTCTTTGCGTCCACACTCACATACCCACATGAGGTAAGCCCCTCTTTCCTTGCACGCACAACCCCATCCCAGCTAGCAGCCGCCTCTGCAGTCCCTCCAGTCTTTGCATCGACACTCACATACCCGCATGAGGTAAGTGCTCTGCTCATTGCGTTTTAAGAGACGACTGTAAATGCACCTTCGGTCTCCGAAGGCTTTGTGCACCGTCCTATCAAAGGCATGGGACGTCGGCTCATCAACACTAGGCAAAGGCCTTTCCTCTTCCTTGTTCGCCTCGTTGGTACGAGAAAAGGCCATCGACGAGACTCAGAATCACTTACTTTCTTTGCTCTCCTCCCTCCCATTCCTACCCCCTTCAGGTGGTGAGGGCACGGCTGCAGGAGCAGGGGAAGGACCTTGGGAATGTGCACCGGTACACTGGCGTGGGTGACTGTATAACGCGGGTGAGTGTAGCCTACGCTATGGTAGCCTCGGTTATAGCCCATCGGTACATGGCATGGGTGACTGTAAAATGCAGGTAGTGGCCTCAGTTACAGCCCACTGGTACACTGGCATGGATGACTGTACCACGCGGATGAGTGTAGCTCGTTGTTACACTCAGTGGGTGACAATGTGATGCAGGTTTAGGCGCCTCAAAAATAGACTCCTCACGCTTGTTACACTGGCGTGGGTGACAATGTGATGTGGGTGACCTTAACTCAAGCTATAGCTGTGTGTGCATTTATGTCAGCTTAAAGTCAGCTGGGTGTTTTGAGTTAATCCAAATGCAGCTATTATGACTTATAACCTGTCTGCACAGTATTGTAATCACTATTCCCATTCGATGCACTCATGAATCTGCAGTGTATTTTTGATGATTCTAAAAATTTTCCATTTGATGCACTCATGAATCTCTCATGTCTTCCTGCCTCCACTATTCCCACTATCCCTCTCCTCTCCTGCCCCTACCCTAAATTCAACCATCAGATATTCAAGGAGGAGAGCATTCACTGCTTCTATCTGGCTATCTATTGTCTCTCTCACTCCTGTCTCCCCTCTCCTCTTCTCCCTCCTGTCCTCCCCATCCACTCCAACCATCAGATATTCAAGGAGGAGGGCATTCGGGGCTTCTATCGGGGGTGTGTGACGAACCTCTTTAGGACCACACCTGCTGCAGTCATCACCTTCACCTCGTTTGAGCTGCTCATTCGAACCCTGCCCACCGTCTTCCCTCCCGCATCCCACACCTACGAAGACCTTGCCGAGGAAAGCACCTCATAGCAGCTCCCTCCCACACGCCCCCATTTATCCTCATTATAGTAATATTCCTCTGTGCCTCTTCCTCTTTTGGAGATGCATAGCCTTAGGTCTCGAACTATGGCCGTGTAAGTTCACAATCAGAGAGAAATTCGGCCATCCAGATGCGAAGATTTGAATTTGTATGAAGGGGAGGATTGTGCGAAGGAAATAATCGTACTAGCATGTGTTGTTAGCTCAACAACAAATGTTTTTGTAGTAGAATATCTTATGCAATGTCATGGCTAACCAATTATGAGCACTTTCACGTGGGTTATTGTATATACTGCATAGCATAATGAGGTAATTTACTCGTTATGGAAATGTGATCACGGGTTTATCATACTCTGGCCAATGTATACTCGGCGAGTTGTTGTGCTTGAAAAGCATACGGATCACTCTATCTCGATGCCGGGGCTTGTAATGGCGCCTGACGAGGCGCTAGATCTCAAATTGGAATCGCGCATCTGACAGTCCAATTCGATGAGCCCTCGAATAAGCGCGACTCGCGGGGGACAAATCCCCCCTCCCCCTGCTGGCATTCCCTGAAGCCAACCCCCCCGAAACCTGCAGACAGCCACAGGCAGAGCCTATGCCAGAGATTGATTTCTGAAACCTCGATTTCTGCTCGCGAAATGACTGCGGTGCTGAAACCTCGATTTCTGCTCGCGAAATGACTGCGGTGCTGAAACCTCGATTTCTGCTCGCGAAATGACTGCGGTGCCGAAACCTCGAATTACTGCCATCCGGAAGGAAATGCTCGCAGACATGCAGACAGCCAGAGACACGCAGACATGCAGGGGTGAAGGACGTATGCCTAGTTGCGGCTGGGGGTCCGAAATCGCGTGACATGGCAGCCTCAGCTTCAAAAGCTGTGCCCATTCGCAGCCCCTCTCCGCCACTTGCGCTTCGCACGCTCCCACCGCCCCCGTCTGCTGTTTCAACCTGCGCTTTCGCTTAGCCCCACATTCGCCAGAGCTACCCTCGACTCGTGCTGAAATAGAAAGGATCGTCGCCGGTGTTCCGTAGATATTAAAAAAGCGAGCTACTAGCGAGAGAACCTTTTTAGTAAGCCCCAAGTTCAGAGAGCTTCGCAAGCAAGTCCCGCTAGGCGCGCGTGCGAAGTCTCAGTGGAATCAATGCTTCCCCTCCTGGGTCTAATTGAGAGTTCCGGAAACACGCGAGCACTGGTCAAGCTCTTGCTGTCGACTGCGCATGCTTCACCTGCATAGACTGTTTCCGCTTCTAGACGCAAAAACTTTGACAGAAACTAGCATAGGGCAGTAGACGCCTTTTGTACCACTGCCCATCACGACCACCATGGCTTCCCTTCTCCAACACTCACCCCTTCACCAAGCTTACCTTTCGCGCGCTCTCTCTTTCCTCCTCGTCTCCGCTCTCATCGCCGCATCCGCCGCCGCATCCTCCGCCTCGCTCTTCGCGCTCCCCTCGTCTCTCGACATCCGCTCCCTTCCTCCATCGCGGCCCGAATCCGCAGCAGGCCCGTCCCACGAGCCGCAGGTGCCGCCGCACGGGGCGCCCTTCGAAGCGCATGTGCTGTCAAGCGACTCAGGACTGGGGTCGAACGAAAATGCCACGGCGGTCGATAGCCCCGCGACTCGAGACTTGACGGTCTCTCCGTTTCACGTCTTCCGCGCTCCGTTCGGCTGCGCCCTCATCGAAATCCCCGAGAAACGCGCGCCGGAAATCCCGGATGTTGAGCTGTCGGACACGTCAGACCCCACTGATGATGACGTCAGTGGAGTTACAAGACTGGATGTTGCGTCAAGAGCAGACGCGCTATATCTAGAAGAAACCGCGGTGAGAAGCAAGAAGGGCAGAGATAGCTCTCTGGATCAATCTCAGGAGGAGAAGGAGCGGGACGACGGGGAGGCGGAGTGGGAGGCGGAGCGGGCCGAGGGGGAGGCGGAGTGGGAGGCAGAGGGGGGCGAGGGGGAGGTGCGCACGGTTTTTGGCGAGCTTGCTGCGCCACTGACGGTTGCGACTCCGCTGCGCGTGTTTCGAGCTGCCGACGGCTCGTTAATGGAGGAACCCGAGATAAGCGACGACCCGGTGCTGTTCACCAGTTTAGACGAGCTGTACCTTGAGGAAGTGGTTGTACGGACACGTGCGGCACGCGAGCGGACACGTGCGCCACTCGCGCGGACACGCGCGTCGCTTGCGGGGGAGAGCAGACAGTTGGAAAGGGGAGTGTCGGGGGAGGGGGGCGCAGATGGTGCTATTTTCGGGGCGTTCCACGTTTTCCGGGCAGATAACGGCTCGCTGGTGGAATTGACGGAACGCGAAGCTGCGTTGACGGCGACGGACGGTGACCGCTTGCCGCTGATGGAATTCAACGGAGCATCGTTAGCAGATCTTGACCAGCTACACAACCAAGAAAACCCCGTCCGTTTCCGTCCGTCGCCCCCCTCCTCCCCAACACCCGTTCGTCGACGGCTGCGGATGACTGCCGATAAACAGATAGAAATCGTTTATGAGAACGAGGAGGAGGAGGACGCTAAACCGAAAGCTGCAAGAGATGCTGGGGACGAGGAGAAGGAGGAGGAGAAGGAGGAGGAGAACGAGGAGGAGAAGGAGGAGGAGAACGAGGAGGAGGAGGAGCGTAGGGCAATGCAACCCGTGCACGTGTTTAGGGGAGCAGATGGGGTTTTACATGAAACAGAAGAAGACAATAGCGGGGATAAACGAAATGCCAGTGAGGGTGACGACGATTCAAGCGAGAGAGGGTTGGACGGCGGTGTGGGCTGCGGCGAGCGCAGGAGGAAGGGATTGAGAATGAATTCGAGGGAGAATGCGCCGGGCGATGCGCCGCTGGACGCGCCGGCTGATGCGCCGGTTGATGCGGCGGTTGATGCGGCTGCAGAGGCGGAGCTGGAGTACGAGTTTGCATTGGCGGTGCGCACGAGGAGAGTAATGACGTTTGGGGGAGTGTAAGCTGAAACGTTGCTCGGTATAGAACAGAAGCCTGTATTACTGTACTCTGCAAATACTTATATCGTGTATTGTAATGTAGTTTATGGAATAAAAAAACATTAAGACGCTTGCCTTTTTGAAAGGTTAGGTGAAGGATACAACCAACACTACGTCTACCACTACTTTCCTATCTCCAGCATAATTTTCTACCCTGAGCTGGAATCTATTGAACGAAAAAAACAAGCGAGCAAAAGAAAACAAAGGCCCTAAATTACTAGCTGTGAAATGGCATCCTGGAGCGTGAGGATGCAGGAGCTAGGCAGCAGATTAGCTCTGCAGCCAAGTCAATCAGTAATGTCAGCAAACTGGGGTCAGGCAGGTGAGAGATTGCACTTGAGGAAGCACAAATCGAGTGCACCCAGCCCAACCGGCAACACGTTGCTTCCTTATGCAGTCCAGACTGGAATCCTGTTGATATGTGGTACACCATCAGCCATGCAAAGTCGCACTCACAACTGCACTGTTCCTTTACCCACTCCAAACATGTTCTTGTCACTCCACATACGGAAGTCAGCAGAAGGTTCCGCCATTGGAGCTTCAGCACAGCAGCCCTCTCACATCTGGATGCAAGGAGAGGAGAGGAGAAGGGGAAGGGCAGTGAGCACAGAGGTTTAGGATGGGCAGGAAAGGTTAAGGAAGCAGAACCAAGCAGAAACAGAGAAAGAAGAGAGTGTTGAAAGTGCTGGAATGAAACAGAGTCCCATGCCTTTCCCCCTCTTATCCTTATCTCCCTCCTCTCCCTCCTCGCTTCCTCCATCTCTCCCCCGTTCAACAGTACCCTGAAAGCTGTCAACAACCAACAACGCGCCACTTTAACCCGCTCCCCTTCACCCCGCTGCGCTTCACACCGCTGCCCTTCACACCATACCTCTCAACGCTCTTCGCTTGGCTCCAGGCTCTTGGAGCTTCAACCCAGCCCTTCCGAAGCCCCACCCATACCAGCCCATCTGTCTCCATATCCTCTTCCTATGCTTCTCCTCCTCTTTGTCCTCCCTATTGTCCTCCCTATTGTCCTCCCTATACACGTCTTTGATCACGTTCGGCAATTGCTGATGGATAGTCACATCGACACTACCATCCCCATCGGCCCACCGTCCGTCTACCATCGACCCAAGGAAATTGGGCTGCTTAGTGCTAGTGCAGTTTGGCTTGATACAGCTGCTTGCTACTCCCGCTACTGCTACAACGGCTGCTACTGCCTGTAAGATGCTTCTTCTCTACCCTATCTTCATAGGATTCGCTCGCCTGTCTATTCGTAGCTTACTGCCAGCGGCTCTCCTCCCACCCCCTCTTTTCCTCCCTCCCCTCCCCCTATATCCTTCCTCATCCCCCCACCCTTCTTCATGTTACCCCCCCCACCCTCCTTCATCTCCCCGTCAATTTCTTCGCTCTTCTTCGCTCCGATCATCTCCCCATTCTCACCAATCTCGCTGCTCGTTCTGCAGTCTATCTCCATACCCTCACCCTCTCTCCCGTCCTTCCTCCTTCCATCTTCCTCTCCCCCGTCGATGTCCATCCCATCACCCCCTCTGTCATCCCCCCTCTTCCCACCCCCTTCCTCCCCATCCACTTCCGTACTTTCACGCTCCTCCTTCGCCCTCCCCTCCCTTGCCGCTCTCTTCTTCTCCCTTGCCTCGTTCTCTCCCTCTGCCAATGCTGCTACACCCATCGCCATGATTGCTTTTGCTCCTGCTCCTGCTACTACCAGCTTGATTCCTTCTGCTCCTGATTTAGGTGCTGCTGCTGCGTCAGGTGCTGCTGCTTCAGGTGCTGCTGCGTCAGGTGCTGCTGCGTCAGGTGCTGCTGCTTCAGGTGCTGCTGCTTCAGGTGCTGCTGCTTCAGGTGCTGCTGCATCAGGTGCTGCTGCTGCTCCCTCCGTCACCTGTGCTGATCGCTGCAATCCCTTCAAACTATTACGCTCTGCCTCAGCTGCTCCAGTCAGAACTGTCGCTTCTGCTCCCTTCTTCACTCCCTCCTCTCTCTCTGCTCTCTCTGCTCCTTTCTCTCCCTCTACTCCCTTCGTTTCTCCCTCTCCTCCCTTCGTTTCTCCCTCTACTCCCTTCGTTTCTCCCTCTTCTCCCTTCGTTTCTCCCTCTTCTCCCTTCGTTTCTCCCTCTTCTCCCTTCGTTTCTCCCTCTCCTCCCTTCGTTTCTCCCTCTTCTCCCTCCTTCTCCCCCTCTCCTCCCTTTTTCTCTCCCCCTCTTCCTTTCTTCTCTCCCCCTCCTCCCTTCTTCTCTCCCTCTCCTCCCCTCTTCTCTCCCTTCGCTCTCTCTTTCTCTCCCTCTGCTCGTGCTGCCACCGCTGGGGCTGCCACTTCAGAGGGAATCACAGAAACAGGTGCAGCTGTAACAGCAGCAACTGGGGGAGGTGCAGCTGTAACAGCAGCAACTGAGGGAGGTGCCGCTGTAATAGCTGCAGGCGTTACTGTCACAGGAGTGACTATAGCAGCTGCAGCTGTAGCACCAGCTGCTGCTGTAGCACCAGCGGGTGTAGCTGCAGCTGCTGCTGTAGCAGGCACAGCCGGATCAACTGAAGAAGGCACCACTGGGGAGGCTGCAACTGGAGCAGGTACACCTGAGACAGGTGCTACAGCAGGGGCAGGTGCAACTGGGGGAGGTTGAATTGGGGGAGGCACAACTGGGGCAGGCACAACTGGAGCAGGCACAACTGGAGCAGGCACAACTGGAGGAGGTACAACTGGGGCAAGAGGTGTGACTGGGGCAGATGCAGCTGGCCCAGTGAGGATTGGTGAGGAAGCAGGGGGGAGTGGGGCTTTGGTAGCAAAACTCGGCAGATCAGCCATTGACGCAGCAGCAGCTGCTGCTGTCGCCACTGCTGGCCCAGGCACACCTGCTGCACTTGCTGCTGAATCTGCTGCTGCTCTGCTCGCTGCTGCTGCTGCTGCTGCTGCAGGCACTGGTGGTACTGACGCCTCCCCTGCCCTTCCTGCTACTTCTCCATCCACATCGGCGGGTTGCACAGTCACTGCCTTAGGAGTGGGTGTCGATGTTGCATCGGACGTTTGCAAGGTTGCAGCCTTGGGAGTGTGAGTCGATGCTGCATTGGAAGCGTGAGCCACTGGTATCTTACAAGGACCTGCCGCTGGCGCTGCTGCTGAGTCTGCTGCTGCTGAGACCACTGGTATCCTACAAGGATCTACTGCAAGAGACTTGGCCTCACTCTTGCCTTGGTTGACGGAGCCCTTGGTTCCTTCAGTTGTTAAGGGAGTGGGTGTTACTTCTGGTCTTACAGTCCGTGTCATTGTGGGTGTCACTGTGGGTGCAGCTGTAACAGGTGTGACTGTGGCTGAGGGTGATACTATCACAGGTGCAACTGTAGATGAAGGTGTTACTGTAACAGGTGCAACTGTAGATGAGGATGTTATTGTAACAGGTGTGACTGTGGTTGTTGTTAGACAGGAAGAGGCCAATGGGGCGATTGGTGTTGTGCTGCCTGAAAGCGCTGCAGGGCCCTCAGTAGCGGCTGATTCTGCTGCACTCGTCTGTGCTTTGGCCACTGGCGGTGGTGTTGCTGTTGCTGTTGCCACAGTTGGTGTTGTGCTGCCTGACTGTGCTGCAGCGGTTGATTCTGCTGCACTCGTTGCAGCTGCTGCTGCCACCACTGCTGCTGCTGCGCCCTCAGTTCCAATTGATTCTGCGGCACTGGCCAGTGCTTTGGTCACTGGCGGTACTGGCAGTGGTGTTGCTGCTGCTGCTCGTGTTGCTGCTGCTGCGCCTCCTGCTGCAGCTTTCGGCACTTCAACCGCTGCTGGTGCCGCCCCTGCTGCTGCCGGTGCCGCCGCTGCTGCAGCTGGTGCCGCTGCTGCTGCTGCCAGTGCCGCCGCTGCTGTTGCTGCAGCTGGTGCCGCAGCTGCTGCAGCTGGTGCTGCCACTGCTGCTGCTGGTGTTGCTGGTGGCGATGTTGTTCCTGCTGCTGCTGCTGGCCCTGCAGCTACTGGTGTTGCTGCTAGTGCTGCTCCTGTCACGTCTGCAGCTACTGGTGCTGCTGCTGGCCCTGCAGTACCGGCAACAGCAGCACCAGCAACAGCAGTTATTACTGCTGCCTTTGCAGCTTCAGGAGCCGCTGCTGCTGCCTTTGCACCTGCAGCCGTAGCAGCATCTCCTGCTGCTGGCACTGCTGGCACTACTGCCGCCACTGCTGACACTGCTGGCACTACTGCCGGCACTACTGCCGGCACTGCTGGCACTGCTGGCACTGCTGGCACTGCTGCCTGCACTGCTGCTGGCACTGCTGGTGCTGCTGCTGGCACTGCTGCTGGCACTGCTGCCGGCACTGCTGGTGGTGCTGGTTTGGCTACCGCTGTCGGGTTAGCCAGCAGTACAGCAGGGATTGCAGATGCTACAGCAGGGGTTGCAGATGCTACAGCAGGGGTTGCAGACGCTACAGCAGCGTTAGCAGATGCTACAGCAGGGCCGACACACATTGCAGCAGGGTCAGTGGGCAGTGCAGGAGGTGCTACAGCCGCTGCTACAGATGCTACAGCAGCGTTGACACACATTGCAGCAGGGTCAGCGGGCAGTGCGGCAGGTGTTACAGCAAAACTTACAGAGGCTACAATAGGGCCCTTCACAGACTGTGCTTGTGCAGGGTGTGACTGTACCGCATGTGCCTGGACTGCAGGCGGGTGTGACTGTGAGAGTGGTGGCTGTAATGGTGGATGTACAGGAGGCACCTTCAGGACAGAGCAGGCAGCAGCACCAGCCAATGCAGAGGGGGGAGCAGGAGTGGGGGGAAGAGGAACGGAGGGAGCAGGACTAGGGGGAGCAGGAGTGGGCGGAACAGGAGCAGGGGTGACTGGGGTAAGGGGAACAGGAGGTGGGGGGGCAGGAGTGGGCGGAACAGAAGCGGGGGGAACCGGGGTAAGGGGAACAGGAGTGGGGGGGGCAGGAGTGGGCGGAACAGGAGTGCGAGGCCTGATTGGTGCGGCGTGTGCCGGAGAAGAGGCAAGCAGGGCAGCTACCTTGGCAGCAGCAGCCACTTGCGCAGGAGGCGCTGGGGCAGGAGTCGTATGGGCGTTTGACATCTGGGCAGGAGGCACGTAGGCACTGCTAGTTTGCATGCCTGCTGAGTTACTACCTGGTGCCCGGGTCATCTTCTTAGGCAGTACCTGTTGCAATGGCTGCTGGAGGTTCTTTTGTACTAAAGTCCCTCCTACTAGTCCCTGCCCCTGCCCCTGCAGCTGTGCTTTTGCCTGTGCCTGTGCTGGTGCCATTGGTGCTGGTACCACAGGCTTTGATAATGCAGCTAGTGCTGGTGGAACAGACACTGGTACTACGGGTGCAACTGGTGCTGGTGCAACTGGTACGACGGGTGCAACTGGTGCTGGTGCAACTGGTACGACGGGTGCAACTGGTGCTGGTGCAACTGGTACGACGGGTGCAACTGGTGCTGCTGCCGCTGGTGCTGGTGCAACTGGTACTACGGGTGCAACTGGTGCTGCTGCCGCTGGTGCTGGTGCAACTGGTACTACGGGTGCAACTGGTGCTGCTGCCGCTTGTGCTGGTGCAACTGGTACTACGGGTGCAACTGGTGCTGCTGCCGCTGGTGTTGGTGCAACTGGTACTACGGGTGCAACTGGTGCTGCTGCCGCTGGTGCTGGTGCAACTGGTACTACGGGTGCAACTGGTGCTGCTGCCGCTGGTGCTGGTGCAACTGGTACTACGGGTGCAACTGGTGCTGCTGCCGCTTGTGCTGGTGCAACTGGTACTACGGGTGCAACTGGTGCTGCTGCCGCTGGTGTTGGTGCAACTGGTACTACGGGTGCAACTGGTGCTGCTGCCGCTGGTGCTGGTGCAACTGGTACTACGGGTGCAACTGGTACTACGGGTGCAACTGGCGCTGGTGCAACTGGTATGGGTGCTACTGTCGCTGCTGCACTCGGTGCTGGTGCTACAACTGCTGCTGCTCCAACTGCGGCACCAGCTGCTGATGCTGCAACTGGTGCTGGTGCTACAACTGCTGCTGCTCCAACTGCCTCACCCCTTGCTGCTGTTGCAACTGCTGCTGCTGCCACTGGTGGTGCTGCAGCTGGCGCTGCTGCCACTGGTGGTGCTGCAGCTGGCGCTGCTGCCACTGCGGGTGCTGCAGCTGGCGCTGCTGCCACTGGTGCTGGCACAACTGCTGCAACAGGTGCTGGTGAAACATTCCTAGGTGCGATGGCCCCTCCATGTGTCTGAGCAGCACCTGCGGGTCGTTGCGCTGATGCCACATGCGACTGACCAGCAGCAGCTTGAGCCCCCTGCTGCCCAAGCGGCCCCTTCTGCCCCAGTTGCACCTGGCCAGCTTGCCCCTGCCCTGGCGCAACCTGCCCTGTTTGCACCTGCCCTGGTTGCACCTGCCCTGCCCCCATAGTCCCTGCCTGCCCTGCCCCCATAGTCCCTGCCTGCCCTGCTGTTGCAAACCCCTGCACCGGCTCCTTATCCGTTCTCATCTTCTTCTGAGGTGGTTCCTGCCCCTCCTTCCCCTGCTGCTGCTGCTGCTGCTGCTGCGTGAGCAGCTGCTGCTGGGGCGGCTGTAGGGGTTGCTGTAGGGGCTGGTGAGGATGATGCTGTGGTTTTGGCAGTACCAGTTGCTGCGGCACCAGCTGGGGTGGCCTTGGCTGCTGCTGCTGCTGCTGCTGCTGCTGCTGCTGCTGCTGAGGCAACCGTGGCAGCAACACCGGCTTTTGCTGCGTCACAAAACGCTGCTGCCCCCGCTGCAGCTGCTGCCCCTGCTGCAGCTGCTGCTGCTGCTGCTGCTGCCCCTGCTGCTGCTGCTGCTGTGGCAGCAGCTGTGGCAGCGGTGGTGATGTGGACGGGGTAGCCAGGCGCGGAATGGGCATCCCCTTCTGCTGCCCCACTGTCCCTGGCAGCCCCATCCCCACCCCCGCCCCTATGGGCCTTTGCACCGCCCCTGCATGCACCACTCCCGGTTGGACCCTTGCTTGTCCAAACCCGGTTGCTCCTGCCCCTGCCTGCCCCATTCCCGCCTGCCCCACTCCCGCCTGCCCCACTCCTGCCTGCCCCACTCCCGCCTGCCCCACTCCTCCCTGCCCTACACCTGTCTGTCCTATTGATGCCTGAACTGATGGTGCCTGCCCCACTCCTGCCTGAATCGACCCTGCAGGAGAAATCCCAGGTATTCTCAGGTGGGTGGACGGACCCCCTGCAGCAGCACCCTGCACTGGAGCAGGTGCCACCCGTGGCAAATGTGCCGCCTGCCCATGCGCCTGCCCATGTGCCTGCCCATGCGCCTGCCCATGTGCCTGCCCATGCGCCTGCCCATGCGCCTGCCCATGTGCCTGCCCATGCGCCTGCCCATGTGCCTGCCCATGCGCCTGCCCATGTGCCTGCCCCTGCCCCTGCCCCTGCGCCTGCCCCTGTGCTGCCTGACTGGAAGCCTGCCCTGCTGCTGCTGCTCCTGCGGCTGCTGCTTGTTGCTTGTGAGTCCCCAGGGGAGCTCCAGGTTTCCCTGCCACGTGGTTCATGCCAGCAGAAGCAGCTATGCCCGGAGCACTTGTCCCTACTGCATTGCCCCCTACCGCACTGCACCCTACTGCACTGCTCCCTACTGTCCCCTCTCGCCCTACCATCCCTGCCAGACCTTTCCCTGCAATTGATGCCCCCCCTGCTGGTCCGTGTCCTGGTGCCCCCTGCGCCTTCATTTGCACCTGAACCTGCCCAGAAACCTGCCCGTGCCGAGCCATGATTGGCTGGTTTGCGAAACCTAGCTTTAAGGCCTGGCCTTGCTGCCCCTGTGGCCCAACAGCTGCTGCTGCTGCTGCTGCTGCTGCTGTTGCACCAACAGCACCAGCTGCCAAAGCACTGGTCGAAGCAGCACCTGCAGCTGTAGCAGCAGCACCTGCAGCCGACGCTACAGCAGCTCCCGTACCTGCCACCTGCCCACTGACCACTCTGCTCTTGCCCTCCTCCTCTCCCCCTTCCGAGCCTGGAACAGGTTTGGCACTAGGCGTCGGAGGCCCGGGAACAGGCCCGGGCGCAGGCACTGGTGCAGGTCCGGCAGCAGGTACGGCAGGAGAGGCAGTGGCATGCAACGACATGGGAGAGACCGCAGGGCCTGGAGCAGCTGGTCTTGTCACGGCTGCAGCAGCAGCGGCTGTCGCAGCACCAGCTGCAGCAGCAGCAGCTGAAGCAGTAGCAGCTGTAGCAGCGGCAGTGGCAGTGGCAGCAGAAGGACCAGCGGAAACAGTGGCGTTACCATCCCTGCCAGGCACATCTCCCCCTGCTGCTATTGCATTGGCGCCAGGCTTTAACCCTGTGGCGGGCTCTTTGGGGCCTCCTGCTGCTGCTGTCTGCCTCACTCCCACGGCACCTCCTGCAGCAACGGCAGCAGCTGCGCCAGTTGCAGCAGCTGCGCCAGTTGCAGCACCTGCGCTTGCCCTTAGGCCAGCCTGGGATGGTACTGAGACGTGCTGCTGTTGCTGCTTCTGCTGCAGAAGCTGCTGCTGCTTCTGCTGCAGCTGCTGTTGTTGGTGCTGCTGCTGCTGTTGCTGTTGCTGTTGCTGCTGCTGCTGCTGCTGCTGTTGTGGCTGCTGCTGTTGTTGTTGTTGCTGCTGTTGGTGCTGCTTCTGTTGATGCTGCTGTTGTTGTAAGTGTTGCTGTTGTTGCTGATGCTGCTGCTGTTGCTGCTGTTGTTGCTGCAGTTGCTGCTGCAGCTGCTGTTGTTGTTGTTGCTGTTGCTGCTGCTGGCTCTGTTGCTTCCCTCCTGCAGTAAAATTAGTACCAGCAGCAGCAGCAGGAGTTGCAGCCACACCACCTGCACCTACACCAGCTACCACCTTATCCTTTCCTCCACCCGCTCCAGCAGCTGCACCTGCCCCTGCCCCTGTCCCGCCTGCCCCTGTTACCAAACCTGGCGGCAGGCTCGGAGAAGCCCCAGGCACCGAACCAGCCCCTACGCCTGCCGCCGCCGCCACCGCAGCAGCAGCAGCCGTGGCTGGAGCAGCAGCAGAGTCTGGGGGGGGGGCTGAGAGTGCAGTAGGGAGAGACGAAGGTGGGGGTACGTGAGACCCAGCTGCCCCTGCTGTACTTGCTGCCCCAGCTGCCGCCGCCGCTGCTGCTGCAGCACCAGCAGCTGCCGCTGCACTTGCTGCTGCTCCTGCCGCTGCGGCCGCTTGCAGCCCAAAGGGTGGGGGTGCTCCAGGCATATGCGGTGGCATGCTCATCCCATAAGGGGGCTGCTTCGACGCCGCTACTGCAGCTGCTGCTGCCGCCGCCGCTGCAGCTGCATAGTTGCTGAAATGCGGCGGGTAGAACGGGTGGTGGTGGTGTTGTTGCTGCTGCTGTTGCTGCTGTTGTTGCTGCTGCTGCTGCTGACGTGCCACGTGCCGGTTGAATTCGATGAAGTGTGCAATGTACACGTGCAGGGCACAGCGCTTCCAGGGCCGGCGCCCGTGCAGCTGCTGCTGCGTGGGCAGAGGGAGCAGGCCGGGGGGTGGCTGAGGGAGAGTGTGCTGGGACGGCTGTGGGGGGAGGGGGTGTGTGTTTGGGGGAAAGGGGAGCAGGGTGGGGGAGGGGGGGAGGGGGGGGGGGGGGAAACAGTGGGGAAAAAAAGCAGGGTAAGGTGATGAGAAGATTTTAATGCAGTGTTGCGGTGCGGTGTCCTCGCACCACTTCACCCCATGCGATTACACCGCCAGCACAGCGCCTCCAGGGCTAGTGCGCGTGCAGCTGCTGCTGCGTGGGCAGAGGGAGCAGGCCGGGGGGTGGCTGAGGGAGCGTGTGCTGGGACGGCTGTGTGGTGAGCGAGGCGGGAAGGGGGGTGAGAGGGTGGAGAGAGTAATAAGAGGGAGAGGGGGGAAAGGGGAGAGGGCATAGGAACAGGATTATTAAGATAGGGAGGAGGAGGAGCCTTGTATCATAAGCCAAGAAGGAAGCTGATGTGGGGTAGTGATTCAAGGAAGCCAAAGACGCTTAGATTTTACATTCAGGACCTGGACCAGCCCCAGGGAGGAGGATTACATGGCCAGAATTTGAGTCGACTCAAGAGCAAGGAAGCTTAGATTCCACGACCAGGACCAGGGACGAAGCTTACATAAGTAGCAGGCCAGAAGACCCCGGCATCACTTTTGAGTCGACTCAAAAGTCACCTCATGAGTCGACTCAAAAGTCAACTCAGGCCAGAAGACCCCGTCATCACCCCTGGCTGCATGGGCCAGCAACGCCCCTCCAGCATGCTGCAGTAAGGATGGGCCCGTGGGCCACTTACAACCAAGAGGGGCTGTGCAGTGCACGACTTACAACCAGGAAAGGCAACCACCCATAGGGACTTACATGGCCAGGCGCGCCTAGAGCAGCAGGCGAGGAGACCCCGTCATCACCCCTGGCTGCATGGGCCAGCGACGCCCCTCCAGCATGCTGCAGTAAGGATGGGCCCGTGTGTGAGAGCGAAGAGGGGAGAGAGGAGGAAAGAGAGGAGGGGAGAGAGGAGGGGAGAGTAGAGGGGAGAGAGGAAGGACCTCCAGCGGAGGGAGGCGGCCAACCAGCAGCAGCTGCAGCAGCCGCTGCTGCAGCCGCAGCTTGGGGAAAAAAGCCTATACCAGGAATCGGCCACCCTCCCAACCCTAAAGGCAGGGGCATGGATGCAGCAGCAGCTGCTGCTGCTGCCGCCGCCGCCGCTGCTGCTGCCGCCCCGTGGGGTTGTGCCCCTGAAGGGGGCATCCCAGGGGGGTTGTGGTGCATGGGCGCAAGGTGGGGGGGCGGAGGGGGGAAGCCTGCAGGCATTATGGGCACTGGGGGAGCTCCAGCGCGGGAAGGTGCCCCCGGGGGGTGTGAGATGGCTGAGCCTTGCCCGGCTGCTGCTGCTGATCCTCCTCCTCCTCCTCCTCCTCCTGCCGCCGCCGCCGCCGCCGCCGCAGCTGCTGCTGCTGCATGTGCTGCTGCTTCTGGAGTGGACGCGTTTGGAGGCCCCCCTACTGCTGCTGCAGCAGCAGCTGAGCCCCCTGCTGCGCCCGCCACCCCTCCTAGCCCTACAGCCCCTGGTGACATAGGCCCGATCACAGGCGAAGAACCAGCAGTTCGCTCCCTAGAACCAGCCTTAGCGTCTGCCTTCGCCCCTCTTGCCCCCCCTCGTTGGCTGCCGGACCGAGACAGGCCTTCCTTCCTCTCCTCCTTCCCGTCTTCCGCTCTACTCTGCACCTCCTGCTCTCTCCCTCCTCTCCCCCTCTCCCTCCCCTTCTCCCCCTTCCCCTTCTCCTCCTTCTCCCTCCCCTTCCCCCGCCCCCCCTCTTTCCGCCCATCTCTCTCCCTCGCCTCCTTCTCCCTCCCCCTCTCCGCCTCAGCATTCAGCAACATCAGATCAAAACCCTTCCTAGACCCTCCCCCCTCGTCGCCTTTACTAAACCCAGCAGCCTTTCTGAGCCTCGCATCCATACTCTCCTCCTCCCCTCCCCCTCCCGCCCCTTCCTTAGAAGTATCACCTCCTACTAAGCCCCCTAGTCCTCCTGCTAAGTACTTATGCCCCGCGCCTGCCGCTGCTGGTGGCTGCAGGGGTAACACCGAGAGGAGGGAGGGAAACACGGAGTGAAAGGAGGGGGAGACGGGGGAGGGTGTGGGGGGGGGGGGGGGGGGGGGGGGGGTGAGAGAAGGGAAGGAGAAGGGACAAGAGTAAGAGTGACGGAGAAGTAAGAGTAGCGAGGAACAGCAATGGATGACAGAGGAGGGGGGGGGGGGCAGAAACAGTGGGATAGCAGACAAAGTCGAGCAAGGCTGGAGGGGTTGAGTCAGGGGCGGTTGGGGAGGGTGGGAGAATCACAACAGGCATGAGAGAGAGGGGGGGGCGCTAACCAGACATGCCACCCACCATGTCAGGCTGTAGACACTCTCAATTTTGCAGGGTGTTTTTGAGACACTCTCACCGTGCCACACACTCACCCTGCCACACACTCACCCTGCCACACACTCATCCTGCCACACACTCACCCTGCCACACTCTCACCCTGCCACACACTCACCCTGCCACACTCTCACCGTGCCACACTCTCACCGTGCCACACTCTCACCGTGCCACACACTCACCATGCCACACACTCACCCTGCCACACTCTCACCGTGCCACACACTCACCCTGCCACACACTCACCCTGCCACACACTCACCCTGCCACACACTCACCCTGCCACACACTCACCCTGCCACACCTCACGATGCACACTAGCCTCTCACCGTGCCACGCACTCACCATGCCACGCTGCACATGGGCCTTGGACTCTCCTTCGCCTGTCTCCTCCTCGTCCACCGCTCCCAACCGCTCTGAGCTGGGCACCAGCAGAGACAGGCCGTTGCCAGGGAGGGACTGCAGGAAGGTACAATGGGAAGGGGGGGGTGGGGGGAGGGGTGGGTTTTGAGTGCGAGGAAAGAAGGCACACGTGGCATGAGAGCATACGTGGCATGAGAGCACACGTGGCATGAGAGCACACGTGGCATGAGAGCACACATGGCATGAGAGCACACGTGGCATGAGAGCACGCGTGGCATGAGAGCACACGTGGCATGAGAGCACATGTGGCATGGGAGCACACGTGGCATGGGAGCACATATGGCATGAGAGCACACATGGCATGAGAGCACACGTGGCATGAGAGCACACGTGGCATGAGAGCACACGTGGCATGAGAGCACACATGGCATAAGAGCACACATGGCATGCGAGCACACACACATACCACTTTGAGGTGCCTCAAAACAGCACACACGCACCATGAGGTCGATTTCTAGCTTGTTGGAGCGCAGAGACTGTGGCGGCCACTGGTCCTTGCCGTCTGCACTGGCGGGCGTGGCTGTAGGTGGCCCCATGCGAAGCCTGGATGAAATTGGGGGGGGGTAGAGAGGTGAATGCGAAGGGGGGAGGAGTTAGTCACGAAACGGCAGCACTTGTTGGAGTGCAGAGAGACTGCGGCGGCCACGGGTCCTTGCTGTCTGTAGTGTGTGGCAGGTGAGGCAGGAGGAGGCCCCATGCGAAGCCTGGATGAAGGGGGGGGAGGGGAGGGATGAGTGAAAAACGGGAAGCACTGGCTGGAGCGCAGGGCAGAGACTGCGGCGGCCACGGGTCCTTGCTGTCTGTAGTGTGTGGCAGGTGAGGCAGAAGGAGGCCCCATGAGAAGCCTGGATGAAGGGCAGGACAAGAGGAGAGTGCAGCACTTGTTGCAGGGCAGAGACTGACTGAGGAGGGCTATGAGGAGGCCCTATTGGTCCATGCTATCTATAGTAAGATAAAGAGGCAGGCGTAGTACTCCTTGCTATCTATAGTAAGATAAAGAGGCAGGTGTAGTACCAGAAGGAGGCTCCATTCGAAGCCCTGTACCTGAGCCCTGAAACCCTAAATCTGAGCCCCAAAACCCTCAACCTTAGCACCGAAACCCAGAACCTTAGCCCCGAAACCCTAACGCTCCTGCATGAGTGGTGGAGAGAGAATATGGGAGCAAGGGGAGTCTCCAAGTGAAAAAACGGCTATACATGCTGTTCCCATACTGCTGTCTAAGCGTGCCAGTGTAAAAAAAAAGGGGAGAATGGCAATATCTCACCTTGTCGTCTGATCCGCTCCTCCCTCCCCTCCCACACCCTGGCCCCCTTTCTCCGCCCCCTGCCCCCCTGGCGCCAGTGCTACGGCTGTGAGGGGGGAGGAGAAGAGCCGTGGGGGGCCAGTGGAGGTGGCATGGGCAGCAGTGAGGGCTTGGGCAGATGGGCCGAGGGATGGACTTCCGCCAGCGTGCAGAGCATACGAGGGGAGTGAGCCGTGGAAAGCTTGGCCTGCTGCTGCTGCTGTTGTGGGGGGACGCCCGGGACTTGCCACCCCCAGAGAGCCCCCAGGCGCAATATTGCCAGAAGCAGTGGCAGCAGCAGAAGCAGGAGGAGCAGGGGGGGCGGAAGGAGCAGAGGGAGCAACACGGGCAGCAGAAGAGGCCGCCCTAGCCGCAGCAAGCACACTCGACAGATTCGGCGGCGCCGAACCAGGGTTCGTTGCCATGGGACCGGCCGTTCCAGCCACCAAACCTGGTGAGCTAGCGACCGAACCTGGCGTGGCGGTGGCTCGGAGGAGCGCCACTGGTGACGTGGCAGGGCGAGTGGCGACGGAGTGCGCGCCACCTCGAGCTGAGCTGGCAGCGCCAAGAAGATTCTCTAGAGTAAGCTGCCGGCCTGCTTGCCGTTGATCCTTGCCTGCACCAGGAACAGCAGCAGTGCTCGCTACCCCCACCCCCCCTGCGCCTGCGCCTGCTCCTGCTCCCCCTCCTCCCCCTACTCCTGCTCCTGCTCCTGCTCCCGCTCCCGCTCCCGCTCCTGCAGCAGCACCAGAAGCAGCAGCGCTCTGGGGGGGGATAGGGAGAAGCATGCGGCCTTGCCCCATGGAGCCAAGCCCAGCCGCTTGGGGGGGGAGAACCGGGGCAGCAGAGGGCATGGCGAGATGCACAACTCCCCCTGCCATCGCCCCGGGGTTCGAAACCCCTGCTGAAGGAGCAACAGGCCTGGGAGCAAGCGCCCTAGGGGCGATGCTGAGAAGACCAGTGGTGCCTGCCCCAGAACCACCTACCCCAGAAGCACCTGCGCTAGAACCAGTTGAGGGGGTGATTGGATGGGACGGGCGTAGGGGGGGGGGGGCACCTGCAGGGGCAGCAGGGCCGGGAGATGGCAGCGGTGATGCGATGTGGAGCAAGGGCTGTGCGGCCTGCGTCACTCCCTGGGCGTGTGCCTGTGTCTGTGCCTGTGTGCGTTGCGGGCCAAGCTGATGATAAGGCATGGATGACTGCTGCTGCTGCTGTGGCTGTGGCTGTGGCTGTTGGTGCTGCTGTTGCTGCTGTTGCTGCTGTAGCTGCTGCTGTTGCTGCTGTTGCTGCTGTTGCTGCTGTTGCTGCTGCTGTTGCTGCTGCTGTTGTTGCTGCTGCTGCTGCTGCTGCTGCTGCTGTGCCATATGCTGCTGCTGCTGCTGCTGCGCCATATGCTGTTGATGCTGAACAGCCTGCTGCTGCTGCTGGGGATGGTGTTGGGGCTGGTGTTGAAACTGCTGGTGCTGAAGAAACTGCTGCTGCTGCTGCTGCTGCTGCTGCTGCTGCTGCTGCTCCAGAGTTGTAGGGGGGCGTGGCTGAAGCCGAAGATGCTTCGGTGCACCCTGCTGCTGCTGCTGCTGCTGCTGCTGTTGTGGCTGCTGCTGCTGTTGTTGCTGCTGCTGCTGCTGTTGTGGCTGCTGTTGCTGCTGCTGCTGTTGTTGCTGCTGCTGCTGCCGTTGTGGTTGCTGCTGCAATTGCTGAAGCTGCTGTTGTTGATTCTGTTGTTGCATGTGCTGCTGCTGTTGTTGTTGTTGTTGCATCTGCTGCTGTTGCTGCTGCTGCTGCTGCTGCTGCTGCTGCATCTGCTGCTGCTGCTGCCATTGTTGCATTTGCTGCTGCTGCTGCTGCTGCTGCTGCTGTGGTGACGGCTGCCCCGTAGGCTGCAGTTGCAACTGAAGCTGCAGTTGCGGCTTCTGCTGCTGCGGTTGCTGCTGCTGCTGCTGCTGTTGCTGTTGATGTGGCTGCTGCTGTTGCTGCTGCTGTTGATGTGGCTGTTGCTGTTGCTGTTGCTGCTGCTGCTGCAACTGCAACAAGTGTTGTTGCTGATACTGCTGCTGCTGTTGTGTTTGCCCCATGGGGGATGGCAACCCCTTAGCCCCCCCCCCCTGCTGTGGCGGCATTAGGTGCAGCTGCAGTGAAGACTGCTGCTGCTGGTATTGACCCTGCTGGTCCAGCCCCTTGTTCTGCTGCAGGTGCAGCAGACTCTGCTGCCCTATCATTGCCTGACCTGTCATCTGCTGACCTGTCACCTGCTGACCTGCCATCTGCTGACCTGTCACCTGCTGACCTGCCATCTGTTGACCTGCCATGTGCTGACCTGTCATTTGCTGACCTGGCTGCTGCAAAAGCGGCCGTGCTTGCAGCAACTGCGGTGCCTGTTGCTGCTGCTGTTGGTGCTGCCGTGGCTGTTGCTGTTGCTGTTGCTGCTGCTGCTGCTGAGCAAGAGGCACATGTTGAAAGCTTATCCCAAGATGCTGCTGCGGCAGCTGCTGCTGTTGCTGCTTTGGTGACTGCTGCTCCTGTTGCTGCTGTTGCTGCTGCTGCTGCTGCTGCTGCTGCTGCTGCTGCTGCTGCAGTTGCAGCTGCTGCTGCGGGTGCTGCAACAGCGGCTGCCCCATCAACTGCCCTGGACCAACTGGCACCAGCTCTGGCAATTTCTGCATTCCTCCCACCATGCCCCCACTGGCTACCCCTGCTGCCCCTCCCGCCATACCCCCACCACAACCCACCCCCCCTGTTACGCCAGCAGCGGAGGGAGGGGCGGAAGGGGGGTGCATGGGGCCAGCAGCAACAGCCAGGGCGGCAGCAGCAGGCGCGCGGAGAGCAGCAGAGGAGGCAGGCCCGTGCTTGGCCTGCCTGGAGCTGGCGTCTGCAGGGCAAGGGGCGGGGAGGGGGGTCGTGGGAGCAGTGGGAATGTAATGTGAGTTAGTTTTGAGGCGCTTCAAACAAAGCAAGCCCGTGCTTGAGCTGGTGCTAGCGTCTGCAGGGCAAGGGGCGGAGAGGGGGGTTGTGGAGGCAGTGGGAATGTATTGTGAGTGGGTGAGTATGGGGACAGGGGGATTGGAACTTGAAAGGGAGACACAGGGAGATAAATTTTTAAGCGCCTCAAAAATCGACTCATCACAGTGGGAATGTGTCATGAGTGGGTGAGTATGGGGACAGGGGGATTGGAACTTGAAAGGGAGACACAGGGAGAGAAGAGGGTGGAGAAGAGGCGTATCATCCATCATAGCGCTGCCACTGGGCCCCATCACATCTCATGGCACGAATACTCACGCCCTTCAAAAAGGCGAAGGGGCAGGGGGGGGGGGGGGGGGGGGGGGGGGGAGGACCGCACACGCACTCTCTCAAAGAGCAGGGGAGGGGGGGGAAGAAGGGAGTGGGGGTGACCTCACACGCACTCTCTCAAGGAAGGAGGGGGGGGGGACGAACACGCACTCTCTCAAACGGACCTGCATGGCCGTGTGCAGCAGCAGCAGCAATCTGGTGCTGGCTCACTTTCTCCAACACACTCTGCCTCCCCCCAACCGCCCCTGCCCCCACTCCCCCCCCACCAGCAGACCTCCCAACTCCGTCCCCTGCTGCTCCCCCCATTCCCGCCCCAGCTCCCCCCGCCACTCCCCCATACTGCTCCCGCCCATCCGCCTCACTCCCGCCACAGACCAGCAACCGGGACACATCGCCAGCAACCCCTGCGGTCTGCCCCCCTGCCCCCACCCCCATCCCCGCCCCAGCTGCTGCTGCAATGGGGAACCCTAAAGGCGGAGCGGGAACAGCGTGAGGAGAGGCTATGGGGGTGCCAGGAACAGCAGGTGATGCTGCTGCACCTGCACCAGCAGCACCCCCAACACCCACAGCACCTGCAGCACCCGCAGCACCCGCAGCGGCTGCGGCAACAGCAGAGGAAAACGGCCCCTGAGCGTCTCTGCCTGGAGCCTGGCCAGGCAGAAGAGGAAGCACGTGCCCCATGGGGCCTAGCCCTGAAGGTGGAGTTGAGGGCGCACTGCCTGCCTTCTCTCCTGCTGCTGCTCCTCCTCCTCCCCCCCCTCCTCCTGCCGCTGCTGCTGCTGGTGCTAGTGCTGGTGCACCTGGTGCTGAGGTTGGTGCGGATCCTTTGGTGGACCCCTCCCCCCCGGTTTGACCTGCTGCTGCTGCTGCTGCTGCTGCTGCTGCCCCTCTCCGCTTCTTGAGGGGTGCTGTGAAAAAGGGGAGGCGGGAAGGGGGGTTGCATAGTACGGCCTTAGTTGCACATGCTGCAGGACACAGGGTGCAAATTGAAAAATAAGGGCGCAGCGCAGGGCAGTCTGCATCCCCTGCAGACCACAGAGCTCGTTGATCCAACGAGAACGACAATCAGCTAGAACCGCAACCTGGCAGCCACAAACTGAAGCAATCAGCTTTTGAGTCGACTCAAAAGTCGTTTCAACGAGAACGACAATCAGCTAGAACCGTAATCTGGCAGCCACAAACTGAAGGAATCACAAGCACGAGCACTCACAAGCATGAGCACTCACAAGCATGAGCACTCAAAGCATGAGCACTCACCAAGCATACGAGCACTCACAAGCATGAGCACTCACAAGCATGAGCACTCACAAGCATGAGCACTCACAAGCATGAGCACTCACAAGCATGAGCACTCACAAGCATGAGCACTCACAAGCATGAGCACTCACAAGCATGAGCACTCACAAGCATGAGCACTCACAAGCATGAGCACTCACAAGCATGAGCACTCACAAGCATGAGCACTCACAAGCACGAGCACTCACAAGCATGAGCACTCACAAGCACGAGCACTCACAAGCATGAGCACTCACAAGCACGAGCACTCACAAGCACGAGCACTCACAAGCATGAGCACTCACAAGCACGAGCACTCACGAAAACAGGCACTTTGACATGAAAAAGCTCACCACCGGATCCTGCTGCTTTCGCCCCTCGCTTCCTCGACTCCTCCTTCTTAGGATCCCCCCCTTCGCTACTTCAGGGCCTCTCAACAATAGACGCCTCACAATAAGAAGCACAAGAACTCACCATCGGACCCTGCTGCTGCTTTCGCCCCTCGCTTCCTCGACTCCTCCTTCTTAGAAACCCCTCCTTGTTTCCGCCCGCCCTCACCCCCTGATGCACCCGCCCCCTCCTCCCTCTTCCCCCCACCTTCCCCCCGCTTTCTAATCACACCCGCTTGCTGTGCAGCCGCACCCTCCCCTACAGTCACACCATTGGCAACAGCAGCATTACTGGCAGCCGCAGCAGCAGCCGCAGCAGCGCCATCAGCAGCAGTAGCGCCATCAGTCCCTCCGTCTTCAGGCTCGTTGGATGCGAAGGCGAGGAGGTTGGCAAAGTCAAAAAGCGCCTCTGCTACCTCTGCCTCCTGTGCTGACATTGACGTAGGCGCGGCAGGCCGCCCACCAGGCCCAACCGCCCCTGCTGCTGCTCCTGCTGCTGCTGCTGCAGTTGCTGTGCCTGGGGCACCTTTCCCCCTGCCTGCAGCGGGCAAAGGGGGCGTTGCTCCTGCGGCTGCTGCTGCTGCTGCCGCTGCTTTGGCCTGATAGAAGAGGGGAGAGCAGAGATACGAGGAGAAGATGTGATAAGAGTAAAGGCCGGGAGGGCAAAGCGGACAGCCAGGACCAAGCAAGAGTTGAGGGCGGGCAACAGCAAGAGGGTGCGGAATGTAGAGGGCATGGAATGTAAAAGGAAGGAAGCACTACAGGAAGTGAAAACGCTGGCAGCTAGCTCACCTTTGCTGCGCGCCCCTTGACCTTTTCGCCTGCCCCGGCCTGCCCAGCCCCACCTCCCCTTCCTCCCTCTCCCCGACCTCCCCTTACCCCCCTTCCCCCTCTGCCTCCGCCCTCCCCTCCCTCCCCCTTGTTCCCCCTCCCCCGCCTCTGGAGCCAGCTCCCCCTGCGCCCCGCCCCCCGCCCCTACTCCTTCCCCCTGACGCTGCAACAGGCGCCGCAGCAGTTGCTGCTGCAGCGGGAAATACCGCACCAGCGGCCACTGCAGCTGCTGCTGCTGCACCTGCAGAAGCAGAAGCAGCAGCAGCAGCAGCACCAGCTGCCGCAGTACTACTAGTAGCGCCAACGCCACCACCTAATGCCGGCAAAGCACCAGCCCCATTACCTTCCTCTATAACGCCCCCAATTCCCACCCTGCCTCCGTCTCCTCCTCCCCCTGCCCCAGCAGCCATACTTGTCACCCCACCACCCTCCCCTCCTCCCCCCCCTCCTCCTCCTCCTCCTCCTCCTCTTCCTGCTCCTCGCACTCCTCGTCCTAGCCCTCTCGCTCCCCTCCCTCTCCCTGCTACCGCTCCACCCCCCTCCCCATGCCCAGCACCTCCTTTTCCAAAAGCTTTACTTTCACCAGGCTCCGCTGCGGCGTTCCCCTGGGCTGAAAGCCAGCCCACATGCCCCACACCACCAGAGGTACCCCCACCCGTGATGCCACCCGCCCCAGCAGCACCCGTGATGGCCCCAGCAGCCGCATCTGCTGCTGCTGCAGGGGCAGCAGCATCTGTGCTTGGAAAGTTAGGCCCCGCAGTTTCTACTGCTGCGTGACTGCTGCTACTAGCAAAACCAGACCCCATTTCTGCTGCACCAGACGCACTAGCGTCAGCAACAGGAGCAGCAGGAGCAGCGGCAGGAGGAGGAAACGGCAGAGTGAAGGGTCTGCTGTGAGATGCCTCCGGGATCCCCCCCAGCCGGTGCTTCATATCAGCGGCTTCGGCTCGCGCTTGCGCTGCCGCTGCAGATCTCTGGTACAGGAAAACGGGGGGGGGAAGGAATAAGCAAGGAAAGAAAGCAGCAATTATGAAGGAGTTTTGTGGCAACTCAATGGGCACGAGATGAGATGAGAGAGTGGAGACAGAAAGGGAGTCGAGAAGAGAGAGTGAGAAATAGCAAAGGGCCACCAACCTCGTTCTTCCTTGGCTTGGACCGCGCTGCTCGCACCTCCCCCTCCACCATCCCCCCCCCCAGAGGAGCACCAGCAGCACCAGAGGAATGCGGCACAGAAGCACCCCCCCCTCCCCCTGCTGCCACCCCTGGCCCCTCCATCGCCTGTACCCCTCCTTGCCTCAGATCCCCCCCAAGGTTCCCTCCCTCGTTGTCCCCAGCACGGTCTGCTGCCAGAGCATGACCTGCTATCGCCGCCCCGTGCCCCCCAGCGCGCCCTGTTTGGCCGCCCTGAGTCGCCAAGTGGGGAGGCATGCCTGGCATAGTATGAGGGGGGGCGGACACAACATTCCCGTGCCCATGCCCGTGCCCATGCCCATGCCCATGCCCGTGCTTAAAATGCGATGAGGCGAGATCCGCAGCCTGCTGCTGCTGCTGCTGCTGCGCCTGCCCCTGCCCCTGGGGCGGTTGGTGAAGAGAAGGGGAAGAGAACGAGGGGATTCTGAGCCCCGTGCCTGCGGCCTGGTTCGGCCCTGGCTGCAGCATACTCTTTCCTGGGTCCTGGAATGGAAAACCCTGGCTCGGCAGCTCCAGCTGTTCCAAACCAGGCCCGGCTGCAGGCCCGGCAGCCCGACCCTGGCTTGCTGGCGAGTCGTGCTTGTGCCTGCTGCCCCTCTTGCCCGTCTCATGCTGCCGCACGTGCAGCAGCTGGGGCTCATGCGCCTCCTTCTCCCCCCTCACCTCCTTTTCCCCTCGCTGGTTATGCTCCTTATGCTCCTTATGTTCCTTGTGCTCCTTATGCTCCCTGCCCACCCTCGGCATCCCATCCCGCCCCTCCTTGGCTCCTCTTCTCTTCCCCACAGGATGCCTTAGCTCTCTCTTCGGAACCGCCGGCCCCCCACTCGCAGCTTCCGCTACCTCGTGCCCTGGCTGACCCCCCTCCCTTCTCTCCTTCGCAAACTCAAGCGCTTGGTCTCCTTCACTCACCCTCTTTCTGCCTTCCTCAAGCCGCTCCTGCTGCTCCGAGCTGTTTCCACTCCCACTCCCCAGATTCAACCCGCCCGGCCAGGTTTCAATACCCGCGCCTCTCATTGCTGAATCCAGCCAACCAACCGCTGCCGTTCCTGCTACAGCGGAGCCCCCCGCAGCAGATCCACCAGAACCAGTGGCAGCACTCGCTGCTGCAGCAGCAGCTGAAGTTTTTCTCTTGCGAGAGTGAGAACCTTCCCCGAATCCAGCCTTCCTCTGATTGCCCAGAGCCGTAGCAGCCTCCCCCTTATGCTCCCTCTCGCCGCTTGCCTCCCCCTCTTCGCCTTCCTCGTCCCTACCTCCCCAGTCAATCCCCCCCTGCCTTTCTTCCCGTCCCATCTCCTCTCCCTCCGCCCTTCTCTCCCCCATTGCACCAGCAACAGCAGTTGACGAGAAGACTGGAGGGGATCGAGAGGCCATGGGTGGTGGAGGTGGTGAGAGCGCATTTCCCTCCAGCCTACGCTCCCTCTCCTCCCGTCTCTCCCTCCCGCGCTCGTCCTTCCGCTCCTCCTTCCTCTCCCTCTCTCTGTCCCTCTCCCACGCGCCAGGAGAAGGCGAGGCGTCTTCATGCGAAGAAGCAGCATCCCAACGAGGCGTCACGTCCAAGTGATGGGGCTCGGAGGACCGCTTCACCTTGGCTATATCGTAAAAGGGGAGGAAGCGGGGAGAGGAAGGGGGAGAGCAACATATTAGGCCTCTTCATGCGAAGAAGCAGCATCCCAACGGGGCGTCACGTCCAAGTGATGGGGCTCAGAGGACCGTTTCACCTTGGCTGTAGTGTGCAGGATTGCCGGGGAGAAGAGCGGGAAAGAGGGGGGGAGAGACAAGCTTTAAAAGATAAGCATTACACATGGAACACCAAGGTCGCGTCATGCGAAGCAGCATCCCAACAGGGCGTCACGTCCAGGAGTGCAGCATCCCACCAGACTCCGCTGTATTCCGCGTTCATGTGACGGCGCTCGAACAACCGCGGATGGCCCGCTGCAGAATACAGCGGAGGGAGACGGGAGAGGCAGACGAAGGAGGAGGAGGAGGAGGAGAAGCGGTAGAGCGTGGCGAGAGAATGCCAAAGGTGAGACGGTATGGCACAAGAAGCCGGGTGATGCAGCATGGCAAACGAAACGGGGGGTGATACCACAGCATCACACCATCACCGTAGGCGCTGCCCCTAGAAGGTGTGCCACGTCCATGCAGTGAGGCCACGGCAAACGGGTGGTACACAGAGCGGCCAATGGGATGAACAGGAACAAGAAAGTACTACGAAGAAGACGAGAGGGAACACAAGGAGCACGCGAGCGGGGATGGCGGCGGTGAGGCACACGTGGGCCAGAGAGCAGCAGTGCGTCGCGGTAAAGGAGGGCGAAGAACACGAATCCACGTCACACTCGTGAAAGCGACGGTTCTTACCAGTGCGTGTGCGACGAGGCACGGCTGTGAGAGTGACCGGGCCGTTCTCATCCATCGACTGCACCAACGAGACACGGATAGGAAGGAAATGAGAGGAACGGGGAACAGGGGAGGGGAAAGGGCGGAAAAACGGGAGGATGGTGTGTGTGAGTGTGAGTAATGGGAGCGGTGCAAGGGAGAAACGAGGCCGCAGAAACGGCCCTGAGAAGAGGAAGGGGAGTGGGTAGCGGAAAGGATGCGGAAATGACAAAAAACGGTACTGAGCGTACGTCCCAAAACGGGACGGGGAAGCAGCAGTAGGTGAAGGGAGAGATCACGTCGCGTCACCAGCGCCTTCAGGAGTCGTCTTCAAACACTCTTAGAAACCGCTCTCCGGACGCCCTGGGTTCACCGACCCCAAGCAGAGAATTCCCTCTCCTTTACCGCTGAGCGTACCTCGAGCTTTGCCCCTGGAAGGCGGAACTTCGGCGGACGCCTGGATCCTACGGGGGAGCCCTCCCGCGCGTCCCCGGGCGACGGGGAATCGCCGTGCGCGCCAAGCCCCGCGCCCTCCCCTCCCCCCGCGCCAGCGCCTGGTGGCGGAGTGGCATCCTCGTCTTCGTCCGCTTGCGGGGAGAACGGGGAAACAGCCTCGGACGCACTCCGCTTGCGCTTAGTTTTCGAGCCGTTAGATCCCGCCGAGGCTACCCTCGGCTTGTCTCGCTTCCGGCTATTAGATCCCGTGGCGTGGTACGCGTTAGAACCAGCTCCTGTATTATTCCCGCTGCCAATGTCGACGGAGTATCGACTGGATCCTTCGACACCAGCACTTGTGTCACCTCTTGCGCTTCCTCCTCCTCTTGAGCCGTGGTTATCGAGGCCAGGCCCGTCAGGTGTGGAATGTCCGGCATCTGTCCGTGGGTCACGAGAAATGGTGAAAAAGGGACAAAGTTCTAAAAGAGCTCAAAAAAGACGGATCGTAAGAAACGCTTTAAAGTTTCATCCAATATACTCCTTCTATCGCGAAAAAGGCCCCTCGAAAGAAGGTTCTCAGGCGCCGACCGGAGCTTGCTAGTTGACGCGGAAAATCCAGTTTCTTCTATCGTGGAAATCTTTAAAAAACGGTAGGAAACTAGCGAAGCAGCTAATACGAGCGAAAGAGGCTCCTAGCGTTCAAAGCCTGGCAACTACAGAAGATAGGTTAACTTCATCCGATCTACGAAACCGTGACATTATCGATGGAAAATCGGCGGAGAATGATGATCCAAATCTCTGCTCTGGGATAACGGCATTAACGCTCAATCCCAGAGAACGTAAGCTGGTACGTAACAACTCCTCCGTTCTTCAGATCGCTAACGTAGTCAGGAAGTATGCTACTAAAGCGGACCGAGGGAAGAAAATGCTGCCTTTTGCAGCGACGAAGCGGACACGACAGCCGAGCAAAACTGGAGGCTAAAACTATCGGCGTTTCATCACGTCAGTCACACTCCAGGTTCAACGGCTCGACAACTGACCGGTTCCAGCTGACTATTCTTGCCCTATAACAGAAATCGACGGTAAAAACGTGCTGGGTATTTCTCGAATTAAAACAGGGGATAACGTACTGACAAGAGCACAAAAGTCGTCATTTCTCGCAGAAAAGTATGTTATCGTAACCAATGGCGCAAATACTGACCACGAAGCTCAGAGAGAACTAACCGAATCTAGCGACTATAAGACAGAAAGGACGACGTCGTTCGCACGTGCTAATTAACCTACGCGAATCATGACTTCCAACTTGTTCAGGAAACGTCAGATCCACGCCATTAACTGTCTGAGCTTTAGCGAGGTAGAAGCGGGCTCGATATCTAAACGACTATAGGAAAAGACCACACATGGTCAGACTATATCTATCTTACCTTGAGTCTCTTTTGGCCCAACGGAGCTCCGCGACCGACGCTGGGTGGGAGTAGTCACGGGACCCTTATCACCTTTCCTTGCTTCTCTCGTCCTGTCCATCGTCTCAGATAACGACGATGATTTTTTTTACTTTACCCAAACCAACAACGGAATTTACGCCTCTCGCACAATCCGGCCTACCGAACTCTCCACGCCTAACGGCGTATCTAGCAAACCTGGAACGAGATTCTAGCCGTTACGCCGGCCAGCTCTTACTAATTTGCTATCAGCGTCTGCGTCTAGGCCAATTTCGGCCTCTGTGACAGGACTGGCATTGCAACCACCACCCATCGCAGAAACAGGCTGCACTAGAACAAGTGATCCGAAGGAAAGCAAATCTCCTATCAAAACCTCTCCGTCACCTCGCTTTCTCCTGGGCCCGCCAGCCAGCAGAACTCTGGTGATTCAGGAACCACAGACAGCAGCTTTTTAGGAGGGGAAGGAAGGAAAAGCAAGGAGAAGCGAGGAGAGAGAGGAAAGAGGGACGAGGGAAACTTGCAGAAAGCAAGCAGTTGTTGGTGGTTCACTTCTCGCCAATCAGGAGCGAGGTTATCAAGCGAACCCCTGATTGGCCCGACGTATTTATCCTGGCTCGCAATACTCGCCGCACAGGTGGTTCGGAAGTCACAGGCGCGGATTTGAGGGGAAGACGAAGTGAAAGATGCGGGAAAGCTTGTGGTCGGGCAGGATAACCAGGCGCTAGCTCTTCCGGACCAGGCCAGTCGAGCCTGTTCGTTTTGGGGTTTGCTGTGCGAGCCCTCTACCTCTCCCGATTGGTGTCACCCTTGGTGTTATTCAAAACTCCCCGAAGCTGCTGACGGGGGTATCATAACCTGCTGCGAGGTACGGCCGAGCCAGACCATACCTCCAGCCTTTGTGGGGTTTCCTGCAGATGGGTTGCGAGGCGTCAAGTGCACACTGCCACGTGGTGTGGGCCTGACTGGTTGCTGGTTCAAAAGGGTGATCCGAAGTTCCCAGCTCCAGTGCGAGGTGCGGGTATGACATGGCAATGGAATGGGGGACGACCCCTGATTGGCTGACCTGTCGTCACTAGGGGAATCTGTGCAACACTGGCCCCATGAAATGCGGTCATGGTGGTTTCAGCAAAATGGACCAACGAACTCGATCAGGCAATTCTCGACCGAACCAGCACTTCAAGCACAAAGCACACAAAACCCTCCTGTCGAAAGCAGTATGGAATTCAGATCGAAGGTCGTCGACAACCACGATGGCTCGGTTCGGGCTGAGCCCAAACCACCGGAGCCCAGCTCTCGTTGGTTGAGGCAGCCTGGTTTGGACTCGTTCATCCAACCAGAGCTGGAACCGAACCAGCGCGTAAGTGCTGAGACGAGAACCACGTCATTTGCGTCTCGAAACTGTGACAAGGCAGGATGTTGGTGGCATATGATTGGCTAACATCCTAGATTATGTCGGTCGGCTTTCGACGCTGATGTGTCTGAGGGAAAACCCACCAAAATCCACACTGCTGAGCCGTTCGATTAACATCCACTTGCGGGTCGGAAAACGTTTCCCGCTGCCCGTTCAGAGCCGTCAACAAATCGTTTATAAGGGTTTGGTTGCCACGTCAGGGCTCAGCATGGAATACATGGACTGCCCAAGACCTTCAGTTCGGTAGCAACCCTTGAGCAATGCTCGCTTTTCGTTATTGGATGCCTTGCCTTCAAACCTATCAGTTTGAGGTGGTACATCCACTAATCGTATAATGAAGCATCCATAACCTTCCATTCCCAAATGCATTCACCTCAATTTAATCAGCTTCCATTGCGAGTCCCGGCCTGCTTCATTCATTTCCACCATTGTGGTCATACACAGTTGATGTGGAAACCATGAACTCCGAAGTTTCCTATGTTTCCTACTCTACATTGTGCAATTCAATCTCAGTACCTATTTTCCACCTGCAAGCAACCAAGCTTACCAAAGCTCCACCTGCAGGTGCAGCCCACAAACAAGATGCGGTAACACACGTTACAATTGCTGGCAAGGTGTCTACATAAAGCAGAAAACAAGGCCCTACACAGGTGGATAAAAAACTTATGGGTCCACGAATTTATGGGGGGGTAACACATGTTAACTTGCAGCCTCTGCCTGTAACAGGCAGTAACCAAGGTCCTATACAGGCGGATAAGGCACTTGTGGATCCACAAATTTTTCGTGCACGAAGGAGAGGTGGTAACACGTGTTACAACTGGAGGCAGGCTCTGCCTGGAACAGGCGGTAACCGAGGTCCTCTAGAGCAAACATAACTTCCGTTGTGCGGCCCACATGGTGCGTCCTGATGGGGAGGATGTGTGGGGAGAGAGGATCAGCAGATGATGAGTGATAAGGTGGTAACATATGTTACAAGGCAGGTTCTGCCTAGAACAGGTGGTAACCGAGGTCCTCTAGAGCAAACATGACTTGGGTTGTCCAGCCCACATGGTGCGTCCTAGTGGGGAGGATGGGTGGGGAGAAGAGAGAGCGGCAGAAGATAAGTGGTAACATGTGTGTTACAAAATGGAGCAGGCTCTGCCTGGAAGAGGCGGTTACCGAGATCCTGTAGAGCAAACATGACCTTTGTTGTGTCACCCACGTGCCGCATGCAGGATAGCATGTTGGTGGTTAAGTAGTTAAGATTTGAGACGTCTCAAAACTGTTGTGCCACCCACGTGGCACGTGCAGGATAGAATGTTTGAAGCATGTGGTGGGGCGGGGTAGATGAAATGTTATGAGACGTCTCAAAACTAAACTACTTAACCACATGGCGCGTGCAGGATAGAAAGTTTGAAGCATGTGGTAGGGGGGGGGGGGGGGGGGTTAGATGAGATGGACAGAGGAATGAGAGGCGAAGTTTATTTTTGAGGCGCCTCAAAAATAGACTCCTCACGCATGAAAGTTTGAAGCATGTGGTAGGGGGGGGTAGATGAGATGGAAAGAGGAATGAGAGGCGAAGTTTGAAATGGGCGCACACAATAATATGGGGCATGTCCCGTCCACTCGCTGTCCAGTGGACCAAGGGTTCTCCAATGAGTGGCAATCCTTGGGATCTCACTTACAAGCGAACCAAGGGGGCGTATTTGCACTCAAATATTGAGGTGCCAAAAGTATTCCACCCAACGAGCAGACCAAGGGCGTATTCGCACTTACTGGCGGATCTCGAGGATAATTTGGCTTGCAGGGGCCTGCTCCCGGCCGCAGAACTGCACCAAGTCTGTTTTTGAGGCGCCTAAAATTAGGCGTGATTGCACTTACCGGTGAATCTCGAGGAAAATTTGGCTTGCAGGGGCCTGCTCACTTTTAAGCCAACGAACGGCACCAAGTCTGTTTTTGAGTCGGCTCAAAAGTCAGCGCACTTACTGGTGAATCTCGAGGATAATTTGGCTTGCAGGGGCCTGTTCCCGGCCAAAGAACTGCACCAAGTCGGGAATAACCGCCTCCTCGCAGCGCTCACAGTCGATCTGTAAATAGAATCGGGAAGACGAAACAGAATGAGAGCGAATAAAATGAGTGGGATGGCATGAGACGGGGCAAAGGCTTGCTGCCTGCCAAAGAACTGCACCAAGTCGGGAATGACCGCCTCCTCACAGCGCTCACAGTCGAACTGCAAGAAACAGGGTAGAAGATGTTGAGGTGGAAGATTCGAGCAATTTTCTTGCCTATGATCTAACACTCTTTTTCTTTTTGCCAAACCGGATCCAACAGTCTCTTTCTTTTTGCTCAAGCGATCTACTGTGTACTGCCGCTCTTCCCAAAACCATGAGTGACAACGACCCACTCATCTTGAGAATGTCAATATGAGTGTGGTTAGATCCGGTTCAGCCGCTCCTTCATTATAGTACGCAGCGTCAGAAACTCCTTAGCTGCCTGGCACCGCCTTGCGCAAGGCTAACCTTGGTTGTGAATACTACCCCAAGGCCCACCTTGAGAATGTCGATATGCGTGTAGTTGAGCTCCTTCATAATTGTATGCAGCGTTTAAAGCCGTTGACCCAAAACGTACAACATTAATAAAGATGAACCAGGCAAAAAGTTGAGCTGGAGAAAGAACAGGGGCGTGGAGTAGTGGTGTGAGGGTGGCAAGAGCGGGCGAACACAGCACACTACGAAAACCAATCAAAACGAGCATAAAAATTATGACAGAACCAAAACATTCGCAAACGGCGACTGGGGGAAATCGAGGATGGGGAAAGGGAAAGCGGTGACTTCGAATTCTCGGTTTTTAACAGTGGTATTAATTTACCTACTGTCACTCTTTTTGCTAAAGTTTTTCCTCTTCGCTGCAGCCCACCCTAACGCTTAATGGCTACGAGGATGGGGAAAGGGAAAGCGGTGGGGCGCGCAAGGCGCAAGGGGGAGTGGGGGAAGAATACCTGTTCAGAGCGGCGCACGGCACGGACTGTATGTGGCGCGTGCGAAAGGGGTTTCTTTGTCAGGGGCGTGATTTATTGCTCCGTTCCAATCCTTGTTTCCTGGTTTTGTCGGTTTTATCATTTGCCACGAAATTATCTGTGTCGTTCTTCCGTAGTAGGTTACTACTGCAACGCAACGACATAATTGTGTTGAACACGCCCCGCAGGGCTCGACTGTGGGCTGGGTTTTGCTCTCCGAAAGTCCCAAATTGTATGCACGCGCTTTCAAGTTTCATGCTGCTCAATTGCCAGGTGTGTCGGGACTCGGGGGTTCGTGCGGAATATGTTGGGGGTGGCGCTTCTTCTGAACCCCGTCGTTTTGGGCTGCGAATTCAATTGCAATTCTCGCTTTGTGGTACTGGGTTACCGCTCGGGGGTGTTCAAGGTTAATAATCTTGAAACACAATTTCTGCAATTTGGGTCAACGGCTTTAAAGTTCCTCGGCAGACCCACCTGATATCATGCACATCCACCACATCCTCCCAACCCAATCCACCTTGAGAATGTCGATATGCGTGTGGTTGAGCTCCATCATAATTGTACGCAAGGTAAGAAACTGCTTAGTTGGCGCAGCCTTGCGTGAAGCCAACCGAATACATGTGGACGACGAGAGTGCATCGGGCGGGGCCCAAGACCCACCTTGAGAATGTCGATATGTGTGTGGTTGAGCTCCTTCATAATGGTGTGCAGGGTGAGAAACTCCTTAGTAGGCGCAGCCTTGCGCAGTGCTTCGATCTGATTGGCCGCGCCGACGCCCACGCTGACGTGGCGCAGGTGCCCCCGCTTGGCGATCTGAGCCTTGGTCCGAGCCTCCAGGAACGGGTTGATGATGAAGGAAGTTGCCTTGAACTTTCGCGCAGCCACATCTTCAAAGTCTAGGCTCACTGCGCCTATGCTGGAACGGTGGGAATGGGGATCAAAAGGGGAGTGGGGCAGATTGGGGAAGATTTATGAACAACCTGGGCAGCTTGCAACCCCCAGCTTGGGGACAGCTTGGAGACATCGGAATTTTCTGGGGGTTGCATTTCGTCCTCGAGACAACGGCAAAATCAATATGAATAACACGATGAAAACAATTAAAAATTATAATTGAATAGATGAGAAAAGTAGGCGGGAGGAGAAAGTAAGGTTTGATTAGGCATTTGACATGGGAGTGGCTGTTGTGACGGCGTTGCAGATGGCAGGATTGGAGAGTCAAAAGATAATGGTAATGAAAATTACCATTATATCATGAAAGGCAAGGTTCTTGAGGGCCTTTGCAAAAAATATATAACACCTGCAAAAGCCACTACACCTGTAGACATGACTGTACATGTAGATAATAGTATACCTGTGAGCGTACTGTACCTGTAGATAATGGGATGCGGGTTGCGGCGAATCTTCGCAACGTTACAAATCCACTGCCAATTGTAACAGGGGAGTCAAATAGGGGATTAAAATGCATCAAGCTCGGTCAGATGGTAACAGGCACATTGGCTTGTGGAAAGGCCACCGAAGCAGGGGCATATGAGAAACAGACACACAAAAACTTGAATTAGATTGTGGGAGACTTTTGAGTCGACTCAAAGATCACCAACGAATTAGGTTGTGGGAGACTTTTGAGTCGACTCAAAGTTCACCAACGAATTAGGTTGTGGGAGACTTTTGAGTCGACTCAAAGTTCACCAACGAATTAGGTTGTGGGAGACTTTTGAGTCGACTCAAAGATCACCAACGAATTAGGTTGTGGGAGACTTTTGAGTCGACTCAAAGTTCACCAACGAATTAGGTTGTGGGAGACTTTTGAGTCGACTCAAAGTTCACCAACGGAAACGAAAAGAAGGAGCCTCAAAAGCACTGGGAGGCTCAGAGGGGCATGGCTATCCAAGGGAGTGCTTTTGAGGCGCCTCAAAAGCACTGGGAGACTCAGAGGGGCATGGCTATCCAAGGGAGTGCTTTTGAGGCGCCTCAAAAGCACTGGGAGACTCAGAGGGGCATGGCTATCCAAGGGAGTGCTTTTGAGGCGCCTCAAAAGCACTGGGAGGCTCAGAGGGGCATGGCTATCCAAGGGAGTGCAGCAGGTCACCGGGACAAGGTATTCCAGTGCACGGGCTGACTGCTTATACCCTATATAAGGCAACCCCATATACTATGGACGAATTGATCAATTGATAGATCCGGTCTTACCCAAGCGGCCTCGCCCCTCCTGGCAAGCTTCTACTGGCGCTGGCAGGGATACACGAGGTGAGACGGTCAATTTGCACCCCATAAAAGCATCTGACCATACCCCATATAAGCATCTGACCATACCCCATATAAGCATCTGACCATACCCCATATAAGCATCTGACCATACCCCATATAAGCATCTGACCATACCCCATATAAGCATCTGACCATACCCCATATAAGCATCTGACCATACCCCATATAAGCATCTGACCATCCCCCATATAAGCATCTGACCATCCCCCATATAAGCATCTGACCATACCCCATATAAGCATCTGACCATACCCCATATAAGCATCTGACCATACCCCATATAAGCATCTGACCATACCCCATATAAGCATCTGACCATACCCCATATAAGCATCTGACCATACCCCATATAAGCATCTGACCATACCCCATACAAGCATCTGACCATACCCCATATAAGCATCTGACCATACCCCATATAAGCATCTGACCATACCCCATATAAGCATCTGACCATACCCCATATAAGCATCTGACCATACCCCATATAAGCATCTGACCATACCCCATATAAGCATCTGACCATACCCCATATAAGCATCTGACCATACCCCATATAAGCATCTGACCATACCCCATATAAGCATCTGACCATCCCCCATATAAGCATCTGACCATACCCCATATAAGCATCTGATCATACCCCATATAAGCATCTGACCATACCCCATATAAGCATCTGACCATCCCCCATATAAGCCAGTTCTCACCCAAGCGGCCTCGCCCCTCCTAGCAAGCTTCTGCTGGCGCCTGCAGGGATACATGGGCGAGAGAAAGACCTCCTTCACCTGTGGATCGGGGTACAGTGAAGAGAGAACACTATAGGTGTATCGATAACGCTATAGGTGAAAAATCAAATGGATACACGGGCGAGAGAAAGACCTCCTTCACCTGTGGATCGGGGTACAGTGAACAAAATCAGAATAGGAGTTAAAGAATTAAATAAAGACGCATACATGGGCGAGAGAAAGACTTCCTTCACCACCTGCGATTAAGAGAATAACAAAGAAGGGAGAAAACGAAAGAAACTTACGAGGAAGGAGATCTTCCGACACAGTTCCAGCCAGTGAGCGCAGTTCCAACTGGAACTGTCGTCCTAATTGCGCTCACTGGAATTATGTCCGAAGAAAACAGGAAGGCGGATTAGGGGCAATATAACTATTTTTGAGGCGCCTCAAAAATATAACATGCACTTGAGGAAAATGGGAATGTGTACAAAGGCGACAGAAACACTCTGATCTCTCAACTCAATTCTTCATACCACCATACATACCCTGCTCTTGAGTCGACTCAAAAACCATCACACCCTTCCCCTCATACCACCATACCCTTCCCCTCATACCACCATACCCTTCCCTCAATCCTTCCTTTCATACAGGCCCATCTGATCTCTCCCCCTCCCCCCCTCCCTGGACTCCATCCGCATCCCCCGACCACCTCCCCCGTCCCCTGACCACCTCCCCCGTCCCCCGACCACCTCCCCCGTCCCCTGACCACCTCCCCCGTCCCCCGACCACCTCCCCCGTCCCCTGACCACCTCCCCCGTCCCCCCGCCCCCCCCCTTCCTGCCCTTCCCCCTTGCCCTTCCCCCTGTCCTTTCCCCCTGTCCTTTCCCCCTGCCCCCACCTTCCCCATTTTCTATCTGCGGTAGGGCGGCTTGGGCCTCCTTCCCCCCTCCCACACTTTTCTCCCCTCCCCTGCCATCCCCCCCTGCCCTCCCCCCCTGCCATCCCCCCCTGCCCTCCCCCCCTGCCATCCCCCCCTGCCCTCCCCCCCTGCCCTTCCCCCCTGCCCTCCCCCCCTGCCATCCCCCCCTGCCCTTCCCCCCTGCCCTTCCCCCCTGCCCTCCCCCCCTGCCCTGTCCCCCTGCCCTCCCCCCCTGCCATCCCCCCCTGCCCTTCCCCCTGCCATCCCCCCCTGCCCTCCCCCCCTGCCATCCCCCCCTGCCCTCCCCCCCTGCCCTTCCCCCCTGCCCTCCCCCCCTGCCATCCCCCCCTGCCCTTCCCCCTGCCCTTCCCCCCTGCCCTCCCCCCCTGCCCTGTCCCCCTGCCCTCCCCCCCTGCCATCCCCCCCTGCCCTTCCCCCCTGCCATCCCCCCCTGCCCTCCCCCCCTGCCCTTCCCCCCTGCCCTCCCCCCCTGCCATCCCCCCCTGCCCTTCCCCCCTGCCCTTCCCCCCTGCCCTCCCCCCCTGCCCTGTCCCCCTGCCCTCCCCCCCTGCCATCCCCCCCTGCCCTTCCCCCCTGCCCTCCTCCCCTGTCCTCCCCCCCTGCCCTCCCCCCCTGCCCTTCCCCCCGGCCCTCCCCCCCTGCCCTTCCCCCTGCCCCCACCTTCCCCGCGTTCCATCCGCGGTAGGGCGGCTTGGGCCTGCTTCCGCCCATCATCTCGCTGCGCTGGGCCACGTGCATCTGGGGGAGGGGGGAGGGTAGGGGGAAGGGGGATTGGGGGGAGCGGTATTGGCTTGGGCCTACTTCCTTCCGCCCATCATCTCATTGCGCCTGGCTAGGTGCATCTGGGTACAGGGGGGTGCGGGGAAGTGGGGAGAGGGGGCGGGAGAGGGGGCGGGAGAGGGGACGGGAGAGGGGGGGAGAGGCGTTGTTGACCAAGGGGGGGAAGGGGTGGGGGAAAGGGAAAGCCTGGAGAGGTTGGATTCGTTTTGAGACGTCTCAAAGACTAACCTACTTAACCACGGATTTTGAGACGTCTCAACAGAAAGCCCGGGGGAGTTGGATTCCGCCCTTCATCTCGTTGCGCTTGGCTAGGCGCATCTCGAATGGTCTTAATACATCTTTCTCAGAGAGCAGCGGAATCGCAGGTTAGGCGTGGCAGGATTGCGCCTGGCTAGGTGCACCTCGAAGGGAGGGGTGCGGGGGAAGGGGGGTGGTTAAGGGGGAGGGGGGAGGAGAGAGGGGGGGGAAGGGGGGAAAGGGGGGGAAGGGGGGAAAGGGGGGGGGGGGAAAGGGGGGGAAGGGGGGAAAGGGGGGGAAGGGGGGAAAGGGGGGGAGGAAAGGCCGGAGGCGTTGGTTGGCTCTCGCCCATCATCCCATTGCGCTTGGCTAGGTGCGTCTCGAGGGGGGGAAATGGGGGACGAAGATTGGCGAAAAATCGGTTTCTCGGTTACACTAACTAATATGTCTAGCCTCACGTCGCCTTGAATCCTAAGCCGAAATGCATACAAGGGCTCTTATGTCGGCCTGCCCAAAATGCCTAATTCAGCTTGTTGTCTACAGTCGAAGTCTAGAGACGGTAAAAAAACAACAAAATATTATTCGTCTATGAATCCTTCTATTAATCCTTCTGCAAAGACCCGTAAAACCATACAGAATCACTGCATAGCGACCCAAAAATGGACTCGGCTTCACGAGCCATACGAAAACTGGACTCGTTTACTAGCTAGAAAAGAATAGTTGCACCTGGTAAACAGCCTCCCCGTGGTTGAAATCCGCCTCATCAATAGTCTGCTTTTTCGTCTCCGGCCCCCCTACAATCGGCTTCGATAAATCGAAATCCGACAGAAACGGCACGTTCGCCCCTCCGCTTCCCCCTGCGGCTGCTCCGCCCGCCTCCCCCGCCGCCGCCCCTGCGCCTCCCGCGGAGCCGCCGCCTTGCGCTTCCGCCGCCTTCTTTGCGACGACAACGGGCGGAACGGGGAAGATGGTAACGGATGCGCCTGTAGCGAGGATGAGAACGACGCAGATGAACGCTGCGGCGAGGAAGGAGGCGAGCGCCGCGAGAAGCGCTCGCACGAGCGAGTCGCCGTGGCTGACGCGCTTAAAGCCTGCGCCGCGCTTCGGGTGCATCATGGCGTCTCGGTCAGCGACTTTTTAACTACCTAAGTTTCGGTACCTAGAATAAATTAGTGGCGTCGTGAGTACCAAAAGATGCAATGCCAGCCGTGACTTAGGAGCTGCTATATCGAATGTATGTATACCTGGGGGAGATACCAGGAGATTGGGTTGAAAGTACTCGTGGAAACTATTGGCGCACGGCGCGCGCCAGCATCTAACTAATGTGCATTCTTCACGACTAAAATGGGAAATGGGATTCTAGCAGACCGTTGCACCTGGTGTATGTTCTGGAGACCCAGAAAACGAAGTAAACAAGAGAAGCTGTGGCGGTATGCGTAATCTCTCTGGCCTCGTTCCTGACTACGGCGGCATGGCCGAAGGGGGGGCATTTATGTTTCCCTGTACCCGAAATAAATTCCAAGAAAAATCAAGTTGAACTTGATTGAGGAGACGAGGGCGAATGCAGGGGCTTTCGATTTACGACGACAATGGCGATTGCGAAAGCAGTTTCGTGTTGCGCCGAATGGCTTCTGCGAAGCCGGAGATGGAAAATTTGCGAAGACATCATGGGAGAACCCACGACTTCGCCTGTTCAAGTTTATTTGGCTCGAACTCGGATGTGGATGTCTGACACCCTGTTCAGCATAAAATTTCCTGCCCCACTCGGCCACACTCTGACCCACTCTCCGCTGGAGATTGGAGGTGTTCATCGCGGTTGAAATCGTTAAGGACTGTTTTGGCTCGGTGTAAAACATGCTGGCCATGGAATTGGGGACAAAATTCCCAACGGATCCACGCATGCAGCTGCACCCGTCTGTTCCGTTGCTGACGGTGGCGACAGCTGTGATTCGTCAAGCCCCCAGCTCCCCCACAAGCTACAGTGCAAAGGTTGCCCTGCGCTGCGCCGAGTCAGCCACTGCTGGCGCCAGGCGAGACACCGTTCTAGCCAATACGTGTGGGCCAGTGAGCCAGATACTGTACACGCAAGCCCAAGCAGACCACAGCCGCGCCTGGGAAGAATGTTTCTCGGTACAGAGAGCTCCACTGGTAGTGAGCTGTTTCGACGCATTGTCCAAAGGAGGCAAGAAAGTCAGAACCTTGTTAAAAAGCTCTTCCCATACCCTCAAATCTCTCTCTAAGCTCAACGCTAAGAGCCTTTATGTTCGTCCCAAGCGCCACGAGAACAGCCCATGTAAAGTCAGCAGTGCCAATGTACCACTTGAATGTTATGGATCCAACCAATACAAGCCAAGCCATGTGTGATGCTCTGACCCTAACGCACGTAACTCTTGCTTGTAATCTATTGTCAAGGACTGCAACCATACTTCAGCCAGCAGCGGTAACTTTTGAGTTGCCAAAAGGTAAATTATTAGAGACTTCAGTTAGCAGCAATGGCATGTGACCATCCGAGGCATAAGATCATCCAAGGGCGAAAGACTCCGTGGTGAAAAGAGTTACGAAGGGAGGCAGAGAGTGAGTGAGGGAGATGGAGTATGTGAGCAGCGGGGAGGGGGGGGAGGAGAGAGAAGAGAGAGTGAGGGCAAGGAAGTAAAGCAGGAGGGAGGGAGGCAAGACGTGAGGGGAAGATAGACCGAGAGCGGGAGAAACATATGGATGGATGGATGCTGGGGGGGCAAAGGGGAAGAGGGGAGCAGGGGGGCTGAAATGTAGGTAGGGAGGGATGCAGGGAGTCAGGAAGGGATGGATGCAGGGAGGCAGGGAGGCAGTGAGGCAGTGGGGCAGTGGAGCAGTGAGGCAGGAAGAATGACTGGGGGGCAGGGAGGGAGGGAGGGAGGGAAGCAGGGAAGCAGGGAGGCAGTGAGACAGTGAGGGAGGGGGGAGGGAGGGAGGGAAGGGGACTTGTGGGGCAGTGAGGGAGGGAGGGAGGGAGGGAGGGAGGGGGCCAGGGAGGTAGTTAAGGGTGGGAGAGGAAGGAAGCGATGGAGTGTTGGAGAAGAGTGGGCTCAACAAGGTACGCGAATGAGAGAAGTGGGATGAGCAGGAAGGGAGGAGGGAGAGATGCGAGAGCGAGAGAATTTAGGGGGGTGGGGGGGGGAGAGCGAGAGAGCACGAGAGAGAGGACGGGAGGCCAGGGACAAGCGGAGGCCCAGCGGAGTTAATCGACAGGCGGAGAGAGTGCAAGGTGAGAACAGAGGGACGCACGGGAAAGAGAGGGCGAGGGGAAGGAAGAGGGGGAGGGGAAGGAAGAGGGGGGAAGGCAGCTTAGGTTTTAGATAAATGCAGCCTGGTGGATTCCCTTCGTGATTTGGTTGTACTTTGTTTAACACTTGAATTTTGACTTTGATGTTCAGCAGGGCACACGACAACGAAAATACCTGCGAAGCTACAGTAAACAATATCCCACTAGCAATGTCACACTAGAAATGTCCCACCACTAGAAATACCCGCTACAAGCAGATCTGACGCTGCTTCGTTCCGAATGAATCCAGGACGGCACTACACCCGTGCCGCAACTCACTGTTTTTCATTTCGACGATCCGAACACAATGCCACCAAACGAAGAATCTCATAACGGGGCATTTCTCGATTCGCGACACCCTCCGCGAAGCTCAGCGAAACGAAAGAGTTACAAGTTCACGTCGCCGTAACCGCCGCGCCCCGCAGTACGAGCGGCATTTCGCGACCGCTGAACGCAGATCCAGATGACGAACGCCAGAACGCCGACTCCCAGAATCACTCCGATCACCGCTCCCGCGATCGCGCCTCCGCTCAGCCCGCTCGACGGCGCGGGCGCCGGCGGAGGCGGCGGAGTCAGCGAGCGCACGAAATCGGCGTAGTCATCGACGGGCATGTAGTCATTCCCCTGCACACCCTGCGGCGGGGGAAACAGCGCCGGCTGCGGGGCTTCCCCGCGCCCTGGCTCTGGCGGAGGGGCTTCCCCGCGCCCTGCCTCTGGCGAAGGGGCTTCCCCGCGCCCTGCCTCTGGCGGAGGGGCTTCCCCGCGCCCTGCCTCTGGCGGAGGGGCTTCCCCGCGCCCTGCCTCCGAGGGAGGAGCGGCATCCCGTGGGGGGATTTCTGGCGGGGCTCCGACAACTGGCGGCGGCGCGGGGGGAAGAACCGGGGGAGCCACTGGCGGGGAGATCTCGGGGGGAGGCGCGGGAGGGGGAACGGGGGGGCAGACGGGGTGGGAGCGGGTGTGGGTGCGGGTTGCGGGGCGAGGACAGGGGGAGGAATGGGCGGAGCGATAGAGGCGGGCGCGGGTGCGGGCGTTGGGGAGGGTGCGGGAGTTGGGGAAGGCGCGGGGGTTGGGGCGGGGGAAGGAATGGGCGCCGGAGAAGGCGCCGGTACTGGCGGCGGAGAGGGCGGGGATTTCTTGGGAGGGGGAGGCGACGGGGTCTTGGCTAGAGATGGCGAGACGAGCAGCGCGAGGAGAACGAGCAGCACTTGGATCGACGCGGATCCGCGCATACGCGCCATGCTTCCCTCTCCGTGCAATGCGCCGCGAGATGTGCAAATCCGGCCGCGAGAATGCGCAACTGGCTTGTCCAGATCGCGGCACGGCAAATCTGCACTATGGCGAACCGCGTCCTGCTGAACCGCGGCGGCGAGTGTTCACCGCAGCACGCCGAACGACGCAGGCGAGAGGACTAAGCCGGCGATAATCCGACGAACTGAAGGGATGTGAAATCGCCGCTGGGAAGGGAATCTCTTGGCTGCGATTTCAAGCCACGGATCCACCAAGAAACCTGCTCAGCAGGAAAGCCCACCACTGGCAGCCCACTGGGAGGTCCACCTGCGCCAGCAGGGAAATCTGGAATCTCAAGCTCCCTCTCTGCCCTGCCCTCCAACAACCTGTATACAGCAGAAGGGGTGCCCAGAAGAATCGAGATTCGAGAGAGATGAGGCGAGGGGAGAATGGATGGGTAGCTGGTGTGGGGAGGGGGGGCGCAAAATACGAAATGCATCCATCAACAATTTCTGCGCCCCTGGACCTAATTGCCGCCAAGGAATTGCCGAGGCGCAGGCAGTGGCGAATTATCTGGGCCGAACCAAGCGGGGCAAGGCGAGATTGGCGAAGCAGGCGGAGTGAAGCTAGGAATGAGGTCCGGAGAGCCTGAAAAGATTTTGAACCAACCCAAATTGTTCGTTTGATTGTAGGTTTGGCTTGGAAGTATTTGTCGAAGGCTCGGGAATTCGCGAAAAACCTGCGTGGTGGCTGCAGAAGGCACAAGCAATTTGGTTCGGATGGGACCCAGGTTGTCCGCCAGATTAGCTATCGCGAACCACAGGTGGATTTTCGCGTGCGGCTGATAAGGTATGCGAAGCGTTGCGAACAGATAGTCAAATTCGCAAAGCAAACCGAGATTCAAGGGGTGTCTTCTATTGGCCGAAATGTGCGGGACGTCCGTGAATCTAGGAACAACGAAGCAGCCATTGAGATTTCACGTTACTGTACTGTACAGGCCAGCAGAATGAAGCGCGTCGTTCGGTATAAACACAGTTCAGGACACTATCCCTCTTTCCATCTGTAGCCACATCTCATGTTGCAACACTTGTAAAATATAGTCATGGGCTCATCAGCTGATCGAGTCTGAATTTGCATGAAGAAGGCTTGTGAATGGCCACACTTGGGACACGAAGCTGCACATAGCACACAGAAACGAAGATGAAACAAATACAAGCATAAACATCTGATGCCATATATCGCCTAGAGATGCTACTGCACAGCCTGCTGGCCTGGTTTTCGTGCATGGAAAAAAAAAAAAAAAAAAAAAAAAAAAAAAAAAAAAACTGCCACATTGTGCAGCTTCTGTAACACACGCGTACCTTCGGTTTTGTCCACATTCTTCCATGCGTCTTCCCCTCCCAACACATCATCCACCTCCTTCTGCACCACCAGTTGCCGCCTTGAAATCTATATATCGAGTGGGAGAGGGGATGGGTGGGGGAAGATGAAGAGAATCAATCATACATCTTGAGAAACACATCACTCAATCCTCTCCCAACACGTCATCCACCTCCCTTGGCACCACCAGCTGCCGGGTTGGAGGGGAGGCATGCCCCTAAGAACTCTAGATTGAGGGGGATATGGGTTGGAGAAACATAAATGGAAGGGAGTATAGCTAGTGAAGTTACATTAAGTGTGTCCCACCCAGCTCGTCCTCCACCCCTGAAGACTCACCTCCCGCGTAATGCCATAGACATAGGGCATAGGGGCACGCCTCAGCAGACTCACCTTTCGTCTGATGCCATGGACATAGGGGCATGTCTGTCAGAAGACAGACGGCATGGGGGCATGTCCGAGCAGACTTACCTTTCTGGTGATGCCGTCGACATAGGGGCACGTATAAGCAGACTCACCTTTCATATGACGCCACAGACATAGGGGGGGCATGCTTGGCAAAGGAATCGCGCCTCAAGAGTCACCTCTCTGATTTTGCAGAGTGTTTTTTATCATTCTTAAAGCCACCTCTCTGATTTTGCAGAGTGTTTTTTATCATTCTTAAAGCCACCTCTCTGATTCTGCAGAGTGTTTTTTATCATTCTTAAAGCCACCTCTCTGATACTGTCACACTCACCTTCCTGGTGATGCCGCAGACAGGGGAACATGAGACATAGGGGGGCACGTTGAGCACGGTTGACAAGCATTGTCTCGTGTGATGCAATCACTCACCTTCCTCGTGTCATGCCAAGACAGGGGGGCATGTCTGGCAGAAGACCCGTGCCTCAGCAATCACCTTTCTTGTACTGTCACACTCACCTTTCTTATACTGTCACACTCACCTTTCTCGTTATGCCATACACGTAGGGGCATGTCTGGCAGAAGAAGCGCGCCTCTCGCCCCATGTGGGCCTGCGTCCATGCTCACAGAAAGCATAGTTGGCGCACGTGGGGCAGAACTCCATCTAGGCGCTGATGAAAGGTGATGTGATGGCGGTGGTGGTAGGGGGAAAGGAAAGGGGAGACAACGTGAGCCTCTCGCCCCATGTGGACCTGCTCCACCAGAAGCATGTTGGCACACATGGGCAGCACTCCGTCTAGAGCGCTGTGACAAGGTAATGCGGTATGAACGGGCAAGGAACGGGCTAGTCACAGCGCTCTAGACGCCCTAGTCACAGATGAACGGGAAGGAACGGGCAGATGAGGAGGGAATAATGCAGGGTGTTTTTGAGAATGCAGGAGGAGAATTCTCAAAAACACCCTGCAAAGTCACATGGGGAAGGAACGGGCAGATGAGGAGTGTGAGGACGGGATAAGGCGTGTGAGCCTCTCGCCCCATGTGGACCTGCTCCACCAGAAGCATGTTGGCACACGTGGGGCAGCACTCCGTCTAGAGCGCTGTGACTAGGTAATGCGGCAGGGGGAAGGAACGGGCAGATGAGGAGTGTGAGGACGGGATAAGGCGTGTGAGCCTCTCGCCCCATGTGGACCTGCTCCACCAGAAGCATGTTGGCACACGTGGGGCAGCACTCCGTCTAGAGCGCTGTGACTAGGTAATGCGGCAGGGGGGAAGGAACGGGCAGATGAGGAGTGTGAGGACGGGATAAGGCGTGTGAGCCTCTCGCCCATGTGGACCTGCTCCACCAGAAGCATGTTGGCACACGTGGGGCAGCACTCCGTCTAGAGCGCTGTGACTAGGTAATGCGGCAGGGGGGAAGGAACGGGCAGATGAGGAGTGTGAGGACGGGATAAGGCGTGTGAGCCTCTCGCCCCATGTGGGCCCGCTGTACCAGCAGCGTGTTGGCGCACGTGGGGCCGAGCTCCATCAGGCGCAGTGGGGAAGAGCGA